AAATCAGACGAAGTCTGAAAATATTTGAAGGTCGTCTCTTAACATACAAAAACACATATGAAAAGTACATGTTTTTTAATGAAGCTACTAGAACATAAAAAAGCAATGATTTGTTAGTATCGAGTAATCCATAACAAATGGTCAATTATAGTTTCACTCTTTAGAACAGTTTCAATTGTTTTAAAAATCTATTCGCAAGCTCATTCGATGAAAAATTTATTTCTCTACAAAACAATAAAACTTGTTTTTCGAAAGCATTTTCCTTGTCAGTATAAAGTTGAAAAGATCAACATCTACTCTGAATCGTTCATTTTCGATAACTAAAAAAAAAAACTGAAAAACTAATGAAAATTTTTAGCAAAGACTTTGCTAGAACTTAAAAATGTACGACAGTATTCCACATTAAATTCTGCATCGTTTAGGATCTTTTCCACAATTTTAAAATAAATATTGATAATAACTAAAATATTTTAACTATTATAGTAACAATTTATACCATTTTTTTTCCAGAAATGAATTTTGCATCCGACAGTATGAGAATTAATGTTGCACAGAATGAATATGAATTTCAAAAATATTATGTGGGATAATGAACCGCAAAACAACAACAGATTTTAATTTGGAGTCTGCGTCTACTAAGTAACAATGTCATAAAGTTTGAAAACAGATAGAATGCAAAATTCTCTTTTTTTTATGTAAAATACTTTACTGTTAAGACTTGTCTAGATATATCTAAAGAGAATAATAAGTCACACGCAGATGATTGAGTTGATGTTGATCGTTCTTTAATTTTTCACCAATAAGGAAAATATTTTTTCTTATAAAACAAAACAGACTATTTCCTAGATAGTTGCTTTTGTGAAATAGTAAAAAAAAGTTTTATACATTGAAAACAAACGCAAATAAGTTCAAAAGACTGAAATAAATAAGTCTGTTAGATACATGTATTGTTCTGAGACAATTTGATTCAATTTAATCAATCTCCTTGATAAAAACTTGGGCACTATGTGCTAGTAGAATATCTTTCGTCGGTCTTAATCTGTAGTCGCTTCTCATATAATTGTTCTCTTCGTTATTCTACCATAAATTTCCACATTGATAAGAAGTATTAGTGGCGGCGCCAGGGGTGGGCCAGGGTGGGCTCAGCCCATCCTGATTTACATCGAGCCCACCCTGAGAGATTTTGAAAGCTATGTAAAAAGAACACTTTGTGTAGGTTAGGGTGGGCTAAACCCATGATGAGCCCACCCTGAACTGAAATCCTGGCGCCGCNGACGAAGTTAGAAAGGGGTTGCCCTTGGCAAGATGAGAACCTATGGAAAACCAAGGTTTTTCATAAAAAACCATGAAACCGCCTTAGAGAATTTTTTCCTCGAACACGTGTCTCATCATTTTAGGTGTTCTATTTGTGGTAAAAATTTCATTTCGATCGGCCTTACCATCTTCGAGATCTAGAAATGGTCAAAAAAGAGGGGGGGGGGGGTACCCTTAAGCAGCTACCTATAGAAAAAAAAAATCATAGAGAATTTCATACTTTATCTGTATCGTAGTATATCAACTTTTGGAGGTCATATAAATTATTTATTTTCATGCAATGATAGTGTTTTAATCATTCAACACAAAATTGTATTACATAACAACTCGTCGTCAAATAAGTATCTGTCTAGTGAGAAGAATATGATCTAAACAACAGAGATATTCATCGAGAATATAAATACCACAATAAATGTTCTCTTTTTCGTGAAAGGAAAATCGAACAAATAATAAATACTGACTAGACATCTAAAACTAATTTTCAACATTTTTTTTTAATACTGATAAATTTTCACCAGCGTATAATTCCTTTTTATGTGTGAACATCAAGAAATATCTTCTCTAATGCGGCATGTTGTTATTCAGAATTTCTTGGATATGATAATAACGAAACCATCATGCTATGTGAGCAGACTACTTTCAATTAGATGTATTATGAAAATTTGTTGAAGTCTTCGAGAAACATGTGAGATTCCACACAACAGTATTTGTCCTCTTCACTTTCGTTGAATTCAAGTTTGTGGAGTACGATAGTGAGCATAAGCTCGCTATCTGAAGAAGATATTTATCTCAATCGTCTACACATATCTCTGCCACCCCGATTTCCACAGTAGACAGAAAATAGGATTAGGAATAATCTTTACAGCTACTGTAGCTAATAACTTGGTATTTCATGTAATTATGCTTCGCATTTGATGCTGATTATCTGTGATAATTTAACCTCTTTTATTTGTATGGTTTTGAAAAATAGATTTTTTATTGAATTTCTCAACAAAAATTTGTAATTGTCATTAGGTCAAGTAGAAAGTTAACATTTAAGTTTTGAATTGAAACTTTGCATAAACGATATTCTCAATGGAACTCATTTATTATAAAAGTTTCAGCTTTTTTCATGGCTTCTGTTATGAGATACGAATATAAGCATTAAATCTGCTTGTTTATACAAGAGAATTTTGAATATGCGTGTCTTTGGATAAAAGTAATGAAAAAAGCTGAAACTTTTAAAATGAACTAATGATATTGAGAACATTCCTTATGCAAAGATTCAAGTCGAAGCTTGAAAATCAACTTTAAACGTGATCTGAGAGGAAACTATAAGATTTCGTTGAAAAATACAGTGAAAATTCGATACCGTAAGGACGAAAGCCTGGAAAACCAAATCATTCTAGATTTTTTCAATGCGTACCAGTACTCATCGGAGAAACATAGTCTTAATCTAGGAACGATTTATCACCTAGAGAGATTTCCCAGTGAGTTATCAACATTTTCCGATAAGAACTTCAAAATTGGAAACAATCTATAGATTATGCTTAGAGCGAAATAATCCATGTAAAAATTTAAACAAAAAATATATATGCAAGTTTGTATTGCCTATTGGAAATCTAATCGATTTGAATGATAGGTGATTATTATACAAATCACTCTGAGTAAGTCTGTAATGAAGGTTATATTTAGAGCACTGTATCTGAATAAAATATCAGATCCACATCTTCGAGCATCCACCAAAGTTGGCTGATGATATGCTCTATCCAATAATAAATTCAAATACAAATAAAATGATGTCAAGACACCTTTTATTAGCTAGACTTAATCAAATAATGAAAATTCTAAAATGATAGTTTCAAGTAAGCTGCGACTATTACCATGTCTAGATTTTAGTGTATTCAAAAACTTTGTACAAGTTCCTTCAATTTGTTTATGAAATAGATTGTGTCATTTTGGATCTGGAAACTCTCTTTATAGAAAAAGTAGTATTGAGATGAATCCATTTTAATGTTTAATGAGCCGCTCGACTCTTTATTTGAATTTTAAACGGACAATGTAAGAGTTTATCCTTACGTATTAAAATAGGAGTGTAGTGACCAAGAAAAATGAACTCGAAACGGTGTAAACTTGAAATTTCGAAGTCACTTTTCTGGAAGAATCTATATTTTTCCATAAATGTTGAGTCCATGTTGTATAATCAGCTAGGCTAACATTTTTGAGTGGCAGTCTGGGCCACAGAACCTAAACAAATAAGAAAATTTCGATTCAAATTCAACTCGATTTCAACACTCATTCTCAAAAGAGATACAAGTTTTATATAGAGAACAGATTTATAAGAGAGTTTTATATAGATACAGTTCATTTTAATGAAGATTTCGATATTATTTGATTCTCCACATCTCTATGTCAATAGTCATTCTTAAAGATTTCCAGCAATAATTAATAAATGTTGGTGATTATTTAATATCTATTCATAGCTATTTATTTACATGCGACGTCTCTAACTGAATAACAACTTAATCTCAAGCACTATTTTTAAAATATTAAAAAAATATTTAAATATCATTTGGTTACTTAATTATTGTCATTGTTTGTTTTTGAGCATGGAGATGAAGATTAGATATATGTCGATGAATATTAAAAAAAATATTATAGAATTATTCTTTTGATTGAATTGAAAATTGCTGAAATTAAATACTGAATGTTTACATTGAATCGAAATAAGATATTTTTAGAGATATTTCGAAAATGATGCCTACAAAGTAGCAAAAACTTATCAGAAGAAGATTAGACTGTAATTCAACGAAAAATCGAAGAAGTAGTCAATGCCAATAAAGAGATGTCAGTCATTACCAAAAATTTGTAATAAATACTATCAAAAAATTGATAAAAAATAAGATATAATATATATATTAAAAAGGCACAAATAAAAATCAATGAATACAAATCATCACACAAGAGAATCAGCTATTTTAAATTATTTAATTTGTGTATACTTTTTTTCTTGAATAGTTATCAATTCTTCGACATATCAATGATACTTTTTTATCCGTGTTAGGTTTCCATAGTTTATAACATGATGAAGATCTAGAAACCACGTATTGTTACAAAGGGTGCAACTATTTAAATCATTGAATAATTGCTCGCCTGTTTTAATTATCTATTAAATCGATTTAAATAGCTATTCAAATGTTTTGAATAGCGCTAGACTTTTAATAGCTGGTTACTAAAGAAGTACACTATACAATTTTTTTTGAAACGAATTACCCTCTTAAATCATTTAGTCACTGTAAGCTATTGGGAAAATATCTCTTTTGAGAAGCTAGGTGATTCTGTGTGGATTCAAAGATGATCCATCTCCTCACATCACCAGACACACATTCTCTCTCGCTCTTTGGTTAATTAAGTGAAATATACCATCGTTTATGTCCAATACAAACTGTCAATATTGAAAATGCTAAAAGTAAAAGAAAATTTTCTTAACGAACTCTAATTTCTTTAGTTGTAACTTCTATTAATAAATACAACGGAATAATTAAACTTGTTTGATACTTAAAAAACACTAAACATTGATGTGATTGAAGACATTAATCCTCTTTTCTTTATTCAATCCTCTCCTCATATCATTTGACATAATTTGTCAACAGGTTTTCGAGAATGTATTATAGTACATAACGAAGCATCTACGCATACAAAAAAAATTATTTCAGTTTTGCAATGACACGTTCAATGTCTTTTTCAATCTCAACCACGTTTGGATTTTCAGGTGGCAACGAATGACGATACATAGTGTATGCTTTTTGATAATATCCTAATGCTTCTTTGAAACTATTCATCGTCTCATATAGTAGGCCAATGTTTTTATTACTCGAACCAATGTCTTGATGTTGAGGAGGTAGTGATTTTATTCTAATGTCTAGTGCCATTCTGTAATAGTTCATAGCATTCTGGTATTGACCAACAATACGATAAATATCACCTATGCCAACATGATTTAAAGCTGTATCTGGATGATTAGAAGGTAAATACTGTTGTTGAATATTCAATGAGTGTGTATAATAATTCAAAGCATCTGAGTATTGCTTCCGAGCACAGCAAACACGAGCGACGCCATGATACAAAGAAGCCATATACGGATGATTTTTAGCATTCGCACGATTGTAGCAGCCCATTGCTGTAGTGTAACATTTCATCGCTTCATTAAAATCATTCTTTTCCATATGAATATTCCCAATACAACAGTGGAGACCACCAATGTAGACTAAATCAGTTGGTTCCGTACGAAGTTTTCTGTCCAATGCTCTTTGAAACCATTGTAGACTGCGATCAAAATCCTTTCTTTCTTTATACAGCATTCCGAATGAGAAACATAATTGAGAATATGACGAATCATCGGGAGTACACTTTTTACGTAGGTCAATATATATTTTCTCTGCCAAATCATATTTTCCCATATGCTGTAGTACATCACCAAAAGATTTAAGATCAGCTTCATCTTCGTCACCTCCATAGTCTGATTTCAATTGCTCGAAAAGTTTCTTTAAATTATTGTCATTATCTTCTGCTAACTGCATTTGAATTGTCCAGATTTTTTCATTCTCATCCCGATAAATATTAGTCAAACGAAATATGCATCCAACCATAAATAATATTTCAGATTCATGAGTGAAGTAACTGAGTGAACTAATATCAGCGAATGGTTTTGATTTCACAACACGAGGATCAGCGTCAATGATAAATAATACACGATGCAAATCATTGGAAATGGGTGTACTCCTCAAGAACTTTACTGCTACATCACGGTCAGCACTAGTCGAGAAAAAAGAATTAACCGAGATGAATTGACCGATCGATCGTTGAAGATTATTCAATTCATCAACAGACATAGCTTGATAACGATACACACAAATAGGATTTCGACATTGATGTTTTTTTAATTGTTCATAAATGTCACGAACTACAAAACGAAATAATAATAATAATTCAATGTTCTGTACTCGCAAAGCTTTGTTTAACATTCTATATAAAAATGCATCACGAGTATACCACCATATAGCTTTTTTAGATCTATATTTACGTTCAAACTCGTGAACGATGGCTAGTTGAGGTTCATTATCATCAAATTCTTCTTTGCAAATTTCAATGAGTTTTTTTTTGTCAGCATCATTAGGTTTCATTCGAATAAGAACATCGATTAATAATAGAGAATGAATAAAATGACCATTGAGTTGAGTTGTGGATTTATCTGCATTACTACTAACATTGTAAAAACTCATAACCATTGGTTCTTCTTGTTTTCCTCGCTCTTTTTGATCGAGTGTGATTTGATTAATGAGATCATCAAGTTGAACGAGCACACCGTTTATCTTGAAACAAATATATAAAGAAGATTAAGAAGTTGGGGAAAAAAGTACTTCATACTTTGGTAAAATTTTTGGCCCAGGGTTTATATGCTTTTCTATTCCAACAATAGATATAAATAGCGGAGAGTTGTCGAAGATCATGAATCCGAGGAATTAAGTCTTTACTTAACTGACCACTAATGATAAGGACGACTCGGTCTTGTTCAGAACGAGACATAATATATTGTTGACACTCGTTTTGATCATCAAATGTTTTCAGATGATTGATGATTGAACGAAGTCGCTTTTGGGCACGCTTGTTCTCTTCTTTTTTATTGACTTTTTCATCCAGCCAAACAAGAGAAAATGTTTCCAAATTATCAGTGTGTGTTTGAACGATTGTATTCTCTGCAGCAGTCATGTGTGAATGAATGATAATATTCAAATCAAATGTTTTTGGTATAAATATGTTGGCGTCATCATTATATTATTTAATGTTGTATGACGACGCGTCAGTCAACATGCACACATCACATTTTCTGGTTACTTGTTTTTGTCATAGTTTTTATCGTATAGGTGATCAAGAATGCTTTCTTAATCGAAAATTATTGATGTATGAAATGCACAGATATGCAAACGCACATGTTTTTAGTGACCAATAGAATGATAGTTTTCGAAGTATTACTTGCCATTTGTCTGTACATATATTGATTATACAACTAGTTAAATGTAAAAATGCAATTTATTTACATAAGTATCCCTATCTTACAATTTCATCCATGTATTCCAACTATGCGAAAATACTTTTCCAATTCTTTAATATTTTGTGAAATCAAGTAATCTATATTATATTTTACTAAACTAATAACGAGAAATACGAGTTCATTGATCATTTTATTGTTTTTGAATTTATTTCAAAAAGCTTGTGAATATTTCGGACTGATCTTCAGTCCATTATCAACACAAATGACAAGTGAAAAATGCAGAAATTATTATATATGACTATTCTTTTCATTTCATTTTGTTTTTCGTCTAATTAACATTGCAATGCAAGGGGGAGAAGCGTTTGCTCGTGCATTGCAATGTTAATTAGACGAAAAACAAAATGAAATGAAAAGAATACCCAGGTCGAACAAGCACGGTCGTAAACGACCGTATACGGAGAAATACGACGATTTACATGGTCACGTATTACGATCGTATATCTCCGTGTCGTATACGGAGAAATACGGTGATATACGGAGAAAAATACGATCGTAANAATTTCAGCCCGATCGGACAAAGTTAGAGGGGGGTCGTAAGCAGGCACGATTGAGTGAATTGTAATTTTGCGTTACGCTAAGTAAAGAAAAAAAATTTCTCATGATTACTATGAAAAAAAAAATTTCTTTAATTCAGTAACTCTGTAATAGTAAGGTGTTTAGAGTCGAATGATGTCTCTAATTGCACATAACACTTGAGGCTATCATACATTATGTCCAACTCAAAATCGAGTTTTTGATCAAAAAAGAGGGGGGGGGGGGTACCCTTAATTTGTTTGTGTTGCATTGTTCAAGTTTTCTGGTACATATAATAAAGAGCACCATTATTTGCTTATTTTATTCATTCTTTCGAATTCTGACTTTTTATCGGCAGCAAGATATAAAAAAAAAAACTTGATCGCAGAATAATATTTCAGAGCGGAATTTTGCACTGCAAAAGCTATTCTTCTTTTATCATCAATTGTAATCTATGAGTATTGTAATACAATGTGTTTTTGAAAGGATTTCAAATATTGTGAAATGTTGGAATAGTGTTTCGGAATATATACAAATAATAAATGATATTCTACTAATATGAAATACATTTGATGACTGCAAAGCTGATTTTCTCCAATATTTTTCATATTCATGTACAAAAAAGATGCGGAACATACATTGGACAGAGTGAATCAAACTGACCGACAACAACTGAATTGTTCTCAAATGTATGCTTCAAAATTGTTGTTGTACTGTACATTTTTCATTTGCTATTTAAGTCCCTACTGTTTATTTTTTGTTTTTATTTATAACTTTAGTAATGATGTTCGAATCTTCTTATATATTTTCTTTGATATATTTTGATAAACCTGTATTGGTAGTACTAAATCGAATAGATTTGCAGTTTATCATCAACTTTCTCCTGCACAGTTTTTCATCGAATTTATTTCTTCAATTCTTTATGTGTATTTATGATAAGTAAATATGTCTTCGAATCTCTTCATTGACTTTCTTTTTATTCTATAAATAGATAAAGATTGTCGTGTAATCAATTAAACTGATCATATATTCGACACTTTACTTTGTTCAATACAAACATAGCACGATATTTATTATCTTTACAACAGTTATGTTATTCGATTTGTTAGTCATTCAATAATTTGTCTAATATTTCATCTAGTTTTCGAATCAAAAACAAAATAATGGCTTGTCTTGTTTTGTGAAATTTTATCTTCTATGATAATAGATAAGAAAGTTTTATCCTATTTTTAGAGGAACTAAACTTCCGAATAGGAGATAATATGTTTAGGAATTGATCTTGAAAATGATTTTTTTCCCTCATTTTTCATTGATGATATTATTTGTTTATTAAATTGAATAGTTTTAGTTTGTTTTTATTGACGAAGATATGGATGAGATTTATTCTTCGGATTTTTTATTATTCGTTTTTTTTTGTGAAGAGTATTATGATAATAACATTTTGATCGGGTTATATCAGTAAAATCATAAAAACGATAATATTAAAAAGAGGTAACTACTCAAATTAATCAATGTAATTATTTGTAATATTCCATAGATTAAATACTCTTTGGTTGTTTCTTGTTTCTCAATATTTTCATTAGATTTTTATTGACAATTTTATACTTAATCGATATGTATTTGAATAAAAAAAATAGTTTTTCTTTCTTTATCTGATAGTAATGATGAAGTTAGTTATTATGTTAAAATATCGTTTCATTCTGATATAGAATTCTTATCTGAGCATTGTTCTGCGAAATTATCAAATAATTCATTTGATGTAAGAATAATATTTATTGAATTTAAAGAATTTTCTAACGAGAGAATCTCTCGAGCTGATAGAAAGCTTTTGAACTCAGATAAATTGCTTTTTGTAGACCCTAATGAATAGTGAAATATCCTAAGTTAATTTGTCCTCTTATTGATTTGGGATAGACTTATGATTGGTTTACTAGTTTTTCGACCTATATGGCATCGCAAGAGTAGCAGTAATAAATGAGTGAATTTTGATCTGAAATTTTGTTCATAAAGAGGTCTTATGAACACTAGAATATCTTGAAAATTTCAGGCAAAACGAAATTCATTCTTCTTGAGATAATGAATTTTCAAAAAAAAGGCGATTTTTCGAAAATAGTTCTTGAGTTCCTGTAAGAAATAGTTTCACTAAAAGCTAGAATCTAAAAGATAAAAATAGTCTGAGACAAAAAAGTATTTAGTCATTTGGAGAAGTTCCTTCGTAAGAGCACAAAGATTTTGATTATCATTTGACAAATAAAATCTTCGAAGATATTATTTACAAAGATAAAAGATTTATTTGTTGTTTATTAGAAATATTTAATGCACATGATAGGATGATTGAATAATTGTCATTTTTCTATCAAAATCTATTGACTAAGAATGTACTATTTAATGTTAATAATAATTAATAACTGTATATAAGAATAGATGATTATGGTGATCGAAAATGGGCATCATGTTATTTCAGGTGAAATATTTATTGATGATCAAATGTTTTGCATAAATGGAATTGGTCTATCTTGTAACACAACGTGGCAGTCATAGTCGGAGTCTCTTCATATATTCTTTGATGTACATACAATTAAAACCATTTTTGAGAGTGTTGACTAAACGGCAGCTTTCACTTTTCTTCACTAATCCTAACGATTACTTTTTGATCATCTGCCTAATTTTATGAAACATATGTTCGATCTATTCAAGTATTAATTCGAATGTTCAATAATCAAAAAGTTCTTTTTGCTATTCGATAGAAAACTATCATATTTATCAGTTGACTTTTAAACAAAAATAAATTTATTTATTTACGAAGATAAAAAGACCTTGAATGTTCTAAAATATCTATGACAAGAAATGAAAAAAACAAATAGACGCATTACTTGATTTGACGAAATACTAATGAATATAGCAAAAATATTCTTGCATAGTTTGAATACATGGATGCAATTGCAAGATAGGAATACTTATGTCAATAAATTACATTTTTACATTCAACTGGTCCCTATAGTCAAAATATATAGATACATGACAACTGATAATTCAAAAACTATCATACTATTGGTCGTTAAAAACATGTACGTTCGTTTATCTGTACACTTCATACATCAATAATTTTCGATTAAGAAACGACAATAATTACCTATACGATAAAAATCACGACAAAAATAAGTTAAAAGAAAGTGAAATGTACACGTGGACAAATACATTATACCACATTAAATAATAAAAAAATAACACCAACATATTTATACCAAAATATTTGATGCGCAAACTATCATTCATATATACATGAGTGCTGCAAAGAATACAATCGCTGAAACACATGGTAATAATTTGGAAACATTTTCTCTTCTTTGGCTTGATGAAAAAGTTAATACAAAAGAAGAGAACAAGCATGCCCAAAAGCGACTTCGTTCAACCATCAATCATGTTATACTATTTCATGATCAAACTGAATGTCAACAATATATTATGTCTTCCTCTGAACAAGATCGAATTGTTCTTATCATTAGCGGACGATTAAGCAAAGAATTAATTCCTCACATTCATCGTCTTCGACAATTATCCGCTGTTTACGTCTATTGTTGGAATAGAAAAGCATATAAACACTGGGCTAAACAGTTTCCTAAAGTATGAAGTTCTTTTTTTCCGACTTCTTAATTTTCTTCATTTATTTCTTGAAGATAAAAGGTGTGCTCGTTCAGCTTGATGATCTGATTAATCAAATCACACTCGATCAAAAGGATCGCGGAAAAGAAGAAGAACCGATGGCTATGAGTTTCTACAATGCTAATAGTAATGCTGATCAATCCACAACTCAACTCAATGGTCATTTTATTCATTCGCTATTATTAATCGATGTTCTAATTCGAATGAAATCTAATGATGCTGACAAAAAAAAGCTTATTCATATTTGCAAAGATGACTTTGATGATAATGATCATGAACTTCATATTATTCGCGAATTTGAACGTAAATATAAATCTAAAAAAGCTATATGGTGGTATACTCGTGATGCATTTTTATATAGAATGTTAAACAAAGCTTTGCGAGTACAGAACATTGAATTATTATTATTATTTCGTTTTGTAGTTCGTGACATTNTTGCAGGCAAGTGACGAAGGTCCCCATGTTCGGGTGACAGCTGTTCATTCGTTTGTTGAAACGATTATTCCCTCCTAATCGAATTCAGAGAGGATGGTACCCGACAGACGATGATCATGATTGACGAAGAGAATAGGAAAGAGTTATGAAAGACTACTATCCTTTCTTGTTCGTTATAAAGACGTGGAAGATTTTTCCGGATTTTTCTTTTCCGGATTTTTGATTTTCCGGATTTTTGGTTTCCGAATTTTTTGTCTTCCGGATTTTTTTCTTCCGGATTACAAGACATATTCTATTTATATATATATGCAACCGTTAGATGATTGAAGATTAAAGAACACATTCTTAAGTAATTCAACTGGGATTGAGATCATAAAGAAATACGCTCAAGCAAACATTCATTTTTTTTTCTAAATTGAAGCTGTAATGTGTTAAGTAGTTGTAGTTATCTGTTTTTTTTAAATGTACATGTTAAACTAGAATAAGTCGTTCTTTAAATCGAATTTTATCGTGGAAAATTTTTTTGTTTTAGCAGCAGATTCTACAGTTGTTAGACAGCAAGTAAAATTAACCTTTTCAATGAACAATTAACCAACAACTTGATATGTTTCACTAAAGTCATGAAAATATTCTAAATGACATTTTTTTCTTAATCTAAACTCGTTTTCATCTGATATCACGTATTACAAAATGCACAATAGAAAATAGGGTGTGGGTCTGGGTGGGTGGGGGTGCGAAATGAAAGAAGATAAACAACCACAACCACACCCACAATCTCTAAAAACTTTTGTATTAAAATGAGATAATAAATGAAATGGAAGTTTTTGTTCTTCAGGATAGTTTTTCTAACATAAATATTGAATCAATGGAAACGGCAATAATTCTTGCATTTTATTTTTTATATTTTTTAATATCATCTCGAGCTGAACATAATTTTTATGTATGTCGTACTGAAGTTGAACTTCGGCACAAAATTTTGCTGAAGTTAAACCTCAGCAATAAATTTTTGTCGAAGTTATTTTGCAACATTGAACTAAATATCTTTCATCAGCAAGTGAGTATCATCGTGTTGAACCATGCATGGAATCTATTTCTTTCAACTAAACAATGTTCATAACTATATTTATAAATATTTATTTTTAAGAATGTCAAATCATTTAGAAATAAAGTATTTTGTTTACTAATCTCGTTGAGTTTCCTGCTAATTTAGAGTACTTCACATGTTCTAAAGAATCGAAAAAGGCAAAAAACTCTTGTGATATAAGGGTGTGGGTGTGAGTGTTGACTAGCTACAAGTGTTGTCTTACATGGTAACCACATTCCCATTCCCACCCACACCCACCAGAGATGGAACCGGTCTAGTTTTTTTCAAGCCGGTGCCGGTACCGGTTCACAACAATAAGACCAGACCGGATCGGCAAAAACCGGCCTACTGGCAAAATCTGTCTAGACAGGTTCAGCGACCGAAATCAATTTATCGAACAAAGTTGATCTGACCGGTCTACCGGACAAAACTAGCTTACCGGTATTAAACAGGATGCTGATGATACGTCAGTTTATAAAACAAAAACGGACCTACCAAAAAAATATCAATCTACAGACAACAGACTAAGACTTGAAATGAAACTTTGTTTCATAGTGAACTCTCTTGCAGGCTACCTTCGTACTTTCGGGCATGTTGGTATAATGTTTCCCTGTTAATAACAATAGTCTCACTGATGAGTATTTTGAAAATTGTTTTTTAAATAAATGCCTGTGTGATCAGTGAAACTTGTGTTGGTGCCAATTGTTTTTTCATATGATAACCATCAGAGAACGTGAAAGTGAACAATATAGACCGGTTTGGATCAGTTGACAGGTAGACCGGTCGGTCATAAGTCCAGACGAGTACCGGTTCTATCTTGGACACCCACGCCCACACCCTCAAGCTCAACTGGTGGGCAACGTTGGAATAATCAGCATTCTGGTTGGATACGACTTAAGCAATCCTATCTTGGTCTTCTATGAACCCTAAACAGGTTTCAAATGGATTCGATAGTTCTAGGCTGTGCCGTGGTTTTGACCTCAGACCATAAAGCAAAAGTGGCTATATCAAAAAGTTCTTGAATTCTACTTTGACGAGTTCTGCTACAACTGAGTACCGTAACAAGAATAAGAAAAGAAGGAGGAGCATTCACAACTTAGTTTCTTACGAAATTTTAGATATTGATAGCAATCAATTGTTGTATTATAAAAATAAATGAAACAAACAACTCTACTCAAAAGAGGTATCGTTTATATACATAAAGTAATTAGTAACAAAGAATTTTTACTGACATTTCACAATTTTGAGAAAATAGTATGAGAATTTTTTATCACCATCATTTTTATCAAATAAGATTAGAACAAGATACAGTATCCAAAACAGGAAAATAGTGACTAAATTTTGTTGGATAATGACATGCATCATAAAAGTTTAATCGTTTTATATTAGCACAGTTGTGTCGTGTTGAATCTCTTGTAAAATTTTTTGTGACATTTTTTAAATGAGAATAAAATAGTTCTAATTGAATCAAACGAGGTACATGAGTCTTTCTATTAAGTAAAAAATGTTCAACATAGTATTTATTCACAACCATCAAGTTAAGTGAAATAAGATGAGAAAATTGAATAATTGCATATGATTGAATATAATCAGCTTCATATTTGTTTAAATCTATGAATAACAACGTTCTATTGGAAATAGTTAAATGTTTCAATAATGGAAAAGCTTTAGCAATTCGAATGAAGAAATGATGTTTGAATTGAACCGTATCAAATACCAGCAAATAAGTAACATGATGGAATATTATAGTTGGAAATCTATCGGTGATCATTTCAAGACGATCAAATTTGAATGGAAGTGAAAAAACATGACATATTGCTTTGAATCGACGATAATAGTTTACAGTACAAGATGTTTGATAATAACCTATATTTTCAAACGTTTTTTGTATATAATTCTCAGATACACGATGAATTGAATCATTAATTTCAATCATAGTACTAATATAAAAAGTAAATGTATGAAGTTGTGACATATGCATAAGACTTTCCTTATGTAAATGAGTACCATCAACAAATGAAGATCGATCTTTAAGACGAATATATAAAGTTAATTTTTCTAAATTTTTCATACGACGAAATAAAGATATAACTTGATTATCATATGCATTAGTTAGATTATAACATGTTAATGAAAAACATTTCAAATTTAATAGATCATTCTAGAAAATACAACCATCTATTTAAAAACTACATATAATTATGAAAATATTTATGTGAATTATCGATCAAACACTTCTATTCATGTTCAACTATTTAACGTTTTTTTTTAATATTTAATCTGAATGTATAGATTTTATGAAATATAATCTAAAAGGAATGTTGAAGTATATACAGGTAGGAATTTGGACACTCTTCACCTCTTTACCACCGACATTTCAACATGTCATTAGCAAAAGTTATTATCTTAATGACTAATTGATGAAAGGAGTGTTAAAGGATATAACGAAAAAAGTGAATCAAATCCTTTCCGCCATACAGATTGTGACGGACACCTTAGCAATTTTGTCCTCAAGAGTATGAATAACATGTAATATCGTGCTTCGCCGAGGATGGCATAGTGGTTCTATGCATCTGACTATTAGTCAGACATCAGAAGGTTCGATTCCTTCCCTCGGCATGGTATGTGACCTCGATTTTAAAAATAAAAAGATATACGGTGATGGAAGAATAGACGCAATGAAGGAAAGGAAAAACAATACATGTGGACATGGTCATAGCTGCCTCGCCAAGATTGTTTATTTTCTATTCTTTGTAATTCNAGTTCTAATATAATTTAGAGTGCCGTTGTGTGTATTGATGTGTGAGTATATAGAAGACTGATGTCTACATCTACCCACAGAGTAGAATGATTCAACCATCGGAAAATAATATTGTTTTTCAAAAATTGTAGTGCACGAAAATTCGAAATAGTTATACATCGGGTCAAAATTAATAGTATTTAAATCTAAAATCCATTTTGAACGTGGGTGTGGGTGGATATTACACGAAATCACTCTACACTCACACCCACACTCACCCTCGCTTGATCTTGAGAAGTAGGAGCCTTGCTCGGGCATAATTTGTTTCCGTACAAGTTGGAACGACATTATTCGTCTGAGTGAGAAATTACATAGGCAAACATTCGAAGTGAAACGTCTTACGGGTGAAGAGATGCTCGCCATACGAAACTTGAATCCTGCTAATGTCGATTTCAAAAAAGTAGGATGATGAGTGTTTTTTGAATAACTTTTGATAAGAACAAGATAGAGAGCTCAAGCTTTCACTATTCGAAAGAGAAGATGAAGACACATCGAATCGTTACCACAAGCGTTTTCATCTGGCTTTTTTATGTTTTCAATTGAGTTTTTCCGGAACCAGCGTGTCTGTGAGGTGATTCCAGTAAATTTTCAATTATCAGGTGTGCGTTAGAACCGCCAATTGAAGATCTAGAAAGCTGCACAACGCTCAGGTTATTAGCCTTAATGGTTCAAGAGTTACAGGTATTCTAAGGGAAACTCTAAGCCGATTTTTCTAGCAACTTCTGTGAAAAAAAAATCATTTTTTTGCTTCTTCCTGTATGATCAAAACCATTTTTCCAATACTTTTTTTTAGAAAACCGAATAAAGAAGCTTCATAAAATACATTCGAAAATCCTGTAATATATGATTCGATGTATCTTCATTTCCTCTTTCGAAAAGTGAAAACCGTAGCTCTCTATCTTGCGTCTATCACAAGTTATTCAGATAATATTCATCGGTCTTCTTTTTTAAAATGGCCATTAGTATTATGGAAAATGTCTATCAAGAAGCAATGATTCAATTCGCTCGAGGTGAAGTCGATTACGAACTGACTTTGAATGAACGTTTTCCAGATATTCACACAGCAAAGATTGAAGAATTCTTAGAGCACTGATGGAAAGAAAAACATGGATGAATCTTGTAAAACTCTAGCAGACGAACTACACGTTGTGTTCGGTTTTAGAAACTTATATTTTTGATACAAAAAGATTAGATGAAAAACATCGAATATAATCACTATTTCTTTGATGTCATTGTGGATTGTTCATTGTTGGATTTTGATAGTGTTTTTGTGTAATTTGTAGTGCGCTAAGAATTCATTCTCATTCCTTAATATCTTTATGACCATATGAAAGGTATAATAGAGAAATTTCATTGACTTTCTTAGCATGGATGATAGCTTCGTTGAAACGTTTCAATTCATGTAAATTGTTGGCCATATTTGTGTGAACAGTAGCTAAACTAGGATGATTGTGACGAAGACAACGTTGATAGATATCAAGGGCTTTCTCACAGTAAGAAAGTGCTTGTTCATAATTTTCCATGTCATGATAGACATGACTGATAGTACTGTAAGTTGAAGCTAAATTCATATGATAATTGAGTAGAGAATGAAATTAGATTGCCAATGCCTGGTTTAGATTGATCAAAGCTTCATCATGGAGTTGAAGATATAGACGTGTTTCACCTATTTGAGTGTAATTCTTTGTTAGTGTCAATGAAAACATTCATTAAGTCAAAACGTATATCATACATTTCTTTCGTGTTTTACCTGAGGTTCTGGCTGGTACTCTTTTAATCACATTTTCAGTGCTTTTTGCATATTGTCCAACGCTGCCTGAACATCTATTTTTTTGTTCAAAAAGTACTTGACCAATCATTGAATAAGTATCATATGCAGCGAGTGCGTTGATTTTGCGACGTTCTCTGAGAATATCCAATGATTTGTGTAAATATTGCAGTTCAGTGTCCAAACCATTCAAGTGATAGTGAATATAGCCAAATTGATGGTAAGACTGAGCCATACCTTCTGTATGTTAATTGACAATACCTCTGTCCAGTTTGCTTTGATAAATTTCTTTGGCTTTTGTCCATTCTCGCATACGTAGTGTCAAATTGACCAAAACGAGACAGAATCATCATGAACACTTATTTCTTCTCGAAGATATTGAGTCAGTTGTTGTATTTCTTGATCATCATTGCGAATTAAAGTTAAACGAATTCGGTCGAGATTGGGTCCAAGAGGTTCGATTTGACCAATTCGAAAAATCGTATTGATAGAAAAGAGAACTTCTGCTTCATCGAAACCAAAATCACTTTGATTATCAATCGAAACAAATATTATGTCACCAATACTTGGACTGACGGTCATATGAAAGAAGATTCCTACTAATTCATGACTGTCGGTCGTACTTTTTGCTCGAAGACGTGCGATATTTTCACTCCGACTTGTGGAAAGAAAATTGTGAAATGAAATAATTCCATTTGGTGTTGATTGAATTCGTTTAAAATCATTACGATTAAGTCTAGAAGAAAAATCGTATCGATTGGTTTTGTAGGGAAAAATAACCTTTCACTTACCCTTGACCTCGATAAATGATCACTGATAATCTGAACGGTGCACTCCTTTGTAATTGATGAAGTTCATTATGTAAGTCACGAATGAAAAAGCCAAGTTTATGAAGAACATCAGTAGCTTGATTTCGTAATGCACCATTTAACATTGAATAGAGAAAGGGTGTAGGTGTGGGTTTGTCTTCTCTTACTTAACATCCAGCCCCACACGCACACCCGTAATTAACAGAAATTCGAAATAGTTACACGGTGAGTCGGAATTTATTATGTTTAAATCTAAACTCTATTCAGAATGTTTCCAAATCTTGTTGAAGACGCTAGCTGTTCAAGAAAGTACAGTAAAGAAAAATGTGCTTGATCATATGCAACTTAGAAGTGACCTGGAACTTATACATAACCATTCTGTCCGATAAAAAATAAAGTACATATCAAGACAAAATACTTTTCTTTCAATCAAAGAGATTCCAGTACGATTCTTGTGATATATGCCAATCTAGTTGAACATTCTATAAGATTTCTTATTGTCATCAGGTCTTTGAATTGAATGGTGGCCTGAAACGAAGGATTGTTCGAAAAGTATTCACCAAGTATTTCATCCATTCATTTTACACTCGATGTGGCTACACTAGTCATAGAGAGTACTAGAGGATGTGCGATATGCATATGAGTCTAGATGAAATGAAGGAAAAGACCAACAACCACAATTTATGTACCTTTAAGAAGGTTCCGAGATTGGGTTTGCCCAGAAAAACCATCTAAATTCAGTAACACAAAGTTTTTACTTCGAGAGAAAGGTCTTCCATTTAGTGGAAGACTTCGCAAAATCTACAGGTAACACTATTATCAGTGCGCTTAAAGGATGTGGGTGTAAGTGTGACTGCTTTGTTTGTCAACACCTACACCCATCTACACTCACACCCTCAAGTTTTTCTCACTTCAAAGCAATCATTTATTTCAAATTTAGCTAAATTCTGATGTCAGCTGTGACATATTTAAGGACAGTAGAAAATAAGAAAATTATCAATTATGATATCAATTTTTGCATACTTCTAAAAATAAACGATGAAATGTTCTTGTGCATAAATTGAAATAAAAACAAAATAGATCAATGATCTTTTCGTTGATAAACAATAAACAGTCAACCAACATGTCTGGAGAAATGGCTGACTTTGCAAAAAACAAAAACTAGCTTTTGAAGGAGGAATATGCAAACTCTTAGAAACGATGTTTTTTAGTTGATTAGCCTAAAGTTGAAACTATTTCTCGGTATCGATTTTTAATTTGCAGTCAGAATTAGAAATATGTTCGGTATTTTTATAAAAAGCTTTCAAATACAATTTCTTTAAAAACTACATCCCAACAGCTAATTACAATTTTTTTTTAGTCTTTGAAACATGCGTGTACAAACGTAGGTCATTATAGTATATCTTATAAGTAAATATTGGGAGAAAATGTTCAGAAAAATATTCTATTCATCAATTACAGAATAAAGTAAGCATGTTGGTCTGGAAAAGAATTTCTTTTGGAAAAAATAAAAATCGCATATAAATGAACTGATTGAGTCTGTTGTAACGATTATTCTCCCTGATACTATATGCATATTGTAAACCAACTGAGTGATAACGACTACGTAGTCCACAACCGTAATTTTTTCTTTCTAACATAATATTTTTATTTATTTATGGTATATGCATTGGACGGACCATTCAATTGTATCATATCGCATTGCAAAAACTTTTTTTGCTATTTTCTCATATATTAATAGCCGACATTATTCTAGTAAGATATCTCATCAAGATTTTCCAGACGAATCCCCTCGCTCATGCTGATGCACAGTGCATAACCCACACAACATGTGATTTCACTAACAACAATAATCAAACTGATGTACCAACACAATCTAATATAATAACGTATCCGACGTGGCCATGCACCATTTTTCTATTCTTATTGGCTCATATTTTTTTATTTACTCTTTAAAAAGGGTGGGTGTTAGTGTAGGTGTGGCTGTCTTCTCTTCATCGACATGCAAAACCAAACTTACACCCACACTGAGCCTAGAATTGCATGATTCCTACTTTCTAAGTACATGTACTCTGATAGATTTATTTTCATAATCCTATGTGGTGAACATGGGTGTGTATGAATAGGAGACTGCTGCCCACACGTAGATCTACACTCACTCATGTTGTTTCCATTGCAACTGGTTATAAAATATGTTTCAATCTCGTACTATACTCACGTGTATGATTTTCATCTTGTATACGAACAATTAGTTACCATATTGGCATTTCATTGAATGTTTTTTCTCTGCTTCTTTGATTCATTTTCCTATACTTCGAAATATGTACTTATGTTTTTTTCTCTTTGCTGTTACCTTGAAAGTCACAACGGAACGAAGAGAAAGTGGACTTATAGGACTTCTCGAATATATTCAAGCAGAGCATATTTGAAAGCTTTCTATAAATGGTAACGAAGAAAAAATTGTATGCGTGTGCATGTTACGTTACTTTATTGAATTTGCTTTCTCGTCACATGCGTCACCGCACTGTACTTTTTTTTCGTTCTCTATGTAAAATGAAACTTAGTCCTCCATGACGAAGGTTCTTGACAATATTGTCAATAAACAAATCGAGTGAAAAAAAATTTCATCAGTCATTCATTTTAACGACGCATACTTTTCGAACACAAGCGATACATATGGCTAATAAAGCTCCATCATTACTTCTGGAACTACCTGTCGAGATTGTCTATCGCATTCTCGATAATCTTGACAAATTTACAATATTTTATTCCGTTCGTGGTGTGTGTACACGGCTGAATATGATTACTGGTACTTACCATCGATATCAGGTAAATTTCATTTCTGTCATTCATTCAGATTTTGATCGCACTCAAGATATTACTCAGTTTAGCCAATAATTATTCTAGTTATTTTCAATTTCGGTTTTAGAATAATAAAAATTTAATGGTAATATTTTGATATTGCTGAATATTACCCACCAGAAAGAGCTATTACGTTATTTGTGCCATTTCCAATGGTTTTATTGAGTTTCTCATTTTTTTTCTGCAATTTCGTATCACATGGAAAACTAAGTTAATAGAATTTTAAAATGCATCAAAGGTCTTCGCATTGCAGTTTTGTTATCCTACACCAATTACAGAAAGGACTTTTCAGATGCATTAAATTGAAGTTTATAGAAGAGGCCTAGNTGTTTTGGTCGGGTTCTGTACGTCGTCGATTGGCTAACGCCGAAAACCCACCAGCTGTCAGAACACTCGTGTGGCATGCGCCCAACACGTAAAAATCGATAACTACTTTAAGAAATTGGATGGGTTCTGTCCCATGCGTAAGTGTATACAAGTGAGCGTGTAGCCATTTTCGACGACGTACAGAACCGTACCAAAACTTATTTAAATATGACGGCTCGAATAGACGAATCGAACATTGCCACGATATCTACGAATATGCACAGCTACCTAAAACTGTGACAGTTGGAACGTATTGTATGGTAGTGTTCAATTGTTCTTCTCGCGGAATGTGAGTGAATATAGGATTTGCGAGTGTATTTTCTCTTTATCCACATCTTGTAAAGAATTGAAATGTGAATCTTTTGACACTAAAAATAGGGCTCTATAATAAATGTTAGTTAAGGAAACCATGATACACAAACTGTCGTATTCTTTGTGACATGTCCGGCTCTTCATCTTGAACTTGATGTTTTGTTTGATCAAGTCAATACATAATCATGTTTAGGTTTATTGAAAGAAACGTCCATAAATTGAATATTATATGACAAGAGCGAAACCAAAACATGTCTTCTTCACTGCTACTATGAATCTATCGATGAAAAACCAAGGAAAATATTGCCAATATAATCAGAAAAAAATTTCCAAAGTTTCCTATGAATAATTGAACTCAACAACATTGACTAATCATATCGGTCGAAAAAATTACTATGCTCCAAGTGACTTCATCAAGAAAGAATGGTTACTTGATGGCTTCAAAAATTTATTTTCAAGATACTTGGCTTCATTCGAGTCTTAAGCACAATAAATTTGTGAAACACATCTTAATAGTTTCAATTGTATTTTTCAACTAACATTTCGTTATCAATGTAGAGTCTATTACCCACACCCACATCCTAGGTGTGCCTAATAATAATCCAAATTCATCTCCATCTGTTGTTGTTGGTAAATCGAATGATCCCAGTTTAAGTTCAACAAATGGAACTGGACGTGATGAACTACAATAAATAAGTGAAAAAAAAAGCGAATGTAAATATTGTAGAACAACTTGTTTGTAACTATTGTTGAATGAACACGACATTTAGATACAAGTGTTAGTGCTGCTGCTATTCGAATGCGTGTTTGTCAATTGGTTGAATCAATAATGAAAAGAAGAGATGGTTTTATCATTTAGATCAGAAATTAAATTTCAAAATTATCTTGTGAATATTTAACAGATTGAATTATGAGAGATTCATAATGTATCGTATGAATTTTGGTGTGATACCATTGAATACAAAGAAAACAAAAATGCTACAAAAAGGAAAGGAAATAATTCGACTTCAGCATCATGAAAGAAAAAAATGAAGATAGTGAAGATGAACAGGCATCGAAAAATGATGATTCAGCAGATGAAAATGAAAGTAAAATCAAAGAATATGATGATGAAGATTAAGTATAAAGAAATTTTATTTATATAAAAGGCTAAATTCATATTTTTTTTTTATTAAAGATCAAAATATCAAAACGCCGAATAAAAACGATAAAGAGAGAGAGAAAAAAATCTGCAAAATATGTCCATCTTAATACTTTTACTAATTTTTCTTTAGAATTTCTTAAAGATGGAAAAGGATGGTGAGTGTATCTATATAAATTTGATTTTTATTAATCAATAATGAATAATAATAAATACTGCAACTTCTTCAGATCATACACGTTCCTTCACCCTCTTTCATTGTTGTATCAGTCAATATGTCTATAGGATATGTAGATTTTGAAGAAATACATTTATTGAAACAAATAGAAGATGGCAAAGTACGTGGCGTGACATATTAACAAGGAGAGAAAGCGAAGAAAAATAAAAAGTTTATATCTATTTCGAATGAACTATTTTTTTCCTCCTTTTTATAGGTCCACACACATTCAGTCATTTGCTGTTAAAATTATCACAATGACGAAACCAATTCCTGATCAACGCTTATTAATATTATTCAATAGTCAAGTATGTTTGCTGTCGTGCTCTTTTATAACATTTTATTTTCATATCTCAGATTGTGAAATATACAACAAAAATCAACGGTAAAGATGCAGCTATTACAAGCAAACAATCATTAAACTGTTCATATTCTGATTCATATGTACAAAAGCAAATATATGAATCATTAATTGATGAAACGAACCAGAAAAATGTAAGGAAGATAAATAAACATTGATCATATCATTTCTTGCAATTTATTTCAGTGAATCTTCTGCAACATATGACAAACACGAAAGAAAATTAGGTATTATTAAAATTAAATGCTACAAATACAACATCAATTCAATTAAATACCTTAGTCGAATGTCCACGGTTGTAAACGATCGTTTATAGAGATAAACGGATGTCGTTAAAGAATCCCGTTTACTGTGTTCGTATATGAAGGTTGTAAAAAAATACGGAACAACAAAAGCAAGCAGTCCTGTACTCCGAATGCGGAATTATATGACTGTCGGATACTGTCATATATGATTGTCGCAGACTTGTGGCATGGAGTAGACTTCTGCATTTCATATATCTATTTGAAAATGTTCTTAGACGAAATGCACGGTGTGGGTACGCATCTGAAGAAAACTCACCCACACCCACATTCACCCTATTATTGGTTGAAAAGTTTTACTTGTTTTTTCATCATGATGCGTGATAAGAAAGAGAAATGTTATGTTGATGTTTGCTGCGATGACTTCAACTATATAAGAGTGAGTCAATATAGTAGTTGTATGTGGAGTAAATAGGAACGTGTGCATAGGTTTACGACATGTCATCACATGTAAAATTCACTGTTGTTTTTCTTTTTCCGTTCTGTTCTTGCATCTTTTCAGAGAAAAATATTTGCGTTTTTTGTTATTTAAACAAAGTGCTGCTATTCAAAAGGACTTGGTACGTTGAGTCTGACAAAAATTATTTTTTTATATAATATTGAAAGAAAATATCACGATCCAATCGAAACAAAGACGAGAGTAGGTTAGTAGAAAAACAAATTCTTATATAGAATAATATTTGTCTAAAAGCATCGATTTTAATTCGTTTTTGTTTCTGGCATATTTTAGAAATGACAACGAAGGAAACAAGTTTAAAACAATGCATTGAAGAACTTTCTGCAAAGAATACCGATTATAAATTTCCTGAACAAGCTATAAATCAAGCTGAGTCATTGAAGTCCTTATCAAGTGATTTATATACAGATAACATACGATTTATTTATGAATTAATACAAAATGCTGATGATTCTCAAGCAAGATATATCACTCTAAAAATTCTGGAAGACAAATATTTCATTATTGCTCATGATGGTAATAAACGTTGTTTGCTTTATTGCCAATTTTTTACTTCTCTATAAAACAAACTTTTTAAAATACGATGGCAGGGTAGTGGCAATAGAAAATATAAATATTTCGTGTGAGTCAAGTATTTTCGCAAAATGAGATATCATATAGGGTCATCGTATCTTGAGCTATTCAAATATTTGAAAAAAAAACGAGGAGGATACAACTTTCAGTTAATAAACTTCATAGTCTGACATCTGTAAAACATAAAGTATAGAGATCGATACAGTATAAAATAAGATTTAACATAGGGAGGGATAACAGAAAATTTAGATTATGAGAGAAGATAAACATCTCGTCGCTATTTTATCGGGCTGATGTAAACTTGCAAATAAAAACTTCATAATAATAGCCAAATATTTTTACAATGTGAGTTTGATAGAGAACTTTTATAGCTATCGAACAGGCATGCACGGCATCCGAACATTTGGGATCGCTGCATGCCTACTTCTGAACAACGCGTTTTAATGATAAAACATATCAGTCTTATAATACTATGTAAAAAAACATAATTCAAAAGTCTATCATGAATAAAATTATCAATTCATGTAATAGAAAGGGGAAAATGCTCATTGCTACTTTTTCCAAAGTATGAAATCTCATTTTTAATCCAGCAGTTTGCATACTGACATATCGTTCAAACAAGGATATTTCCTACAAAGTTTATGCTCTTAATGTGTTTTTGACGTTCATTCTACTTCACCCGAATTGAAATAGTGTTTGTAATATTTTTGAATCATTTTGTATAGGAAAAGCGTTTGACGAAAAAGATTTACAAGGTATCTGTGGTGTTAATCATGGAACTAAAAAGAAAGATCTCGATAAAACTGGATACAAAGGTTTAGGATTCAAAGCAGTTTTTGGGAAATCCGATAAGGTTATGATCTATTCTAATGGAGAATATTTTCGATTCGATTCTTCGTATCAAATTAAATGGAATAAACAATGGGGAACTGATGATCAACAAACATGGGAAAAAGAAAATGATCGAGAATTCATTTATCCATGGCAAATTAATCCTGTGTGGACTAATGACAATGACATTCCGAGTCTTGTTAAAGAATTTTTTAGTCAAAAGAAAAATCAAATCCGTGTAGTCTATGCAATTTTATTAAATAATGTTGAAGAAATCAATTCTGCTTTAAATCAATTAAAACAACAACCACATATGTTTCTTTTTCTACGAAATATTTGTCGTATGACATTTTTAACACAACCAAATGATACTATTTCAATTGCTCGTGATTTTAGTCATGGTTTAAAAAAAGTTCATGTTAATAATAAAATCGATTCGCAATGGATTATCAAACATTTTGAATTAGATATTCCCGATGATATACTAGAGAAGTTATCTGAAGATACTAAAGCGCCAGAAAAATTACGTTTTATCAAAAAAGCAGAAATGTTTTTTGCTGCGAAATATAAAGTTCCAGTACATAATGAAAATGGAGAATTGATTAGTGGTGGTATAGAAAAACTACATGAACAAGATTCAGTTCTCTTTTCTTATTTACCAACTAAAATTTTTGAATATAAATTTCCCGTATTAATCAATGCTAACTTTTTAACAAATGTAAATCGAGAACAAATTCATACGGGTAAAATTTTTCTCAGTTTTTTTCTCAAGCTTTTTATACAAAAAGTTTTGTTTAGATTCTATTTGGAATCAATGGTTATTTGATAAAATAAGTGGTGAAATCTTTCAATGGATAAAAGAACTGGTTAAAGATAATAAATTTCGTTTTCAAGCTTATCGACTTATTCCATCGAAATTGAATCCAGAAAACAATATTTTAACAAAACGATTCAATGATTCATATTCAAGAAGTATCAAAGATTGTAATTTCATTCGCAATAGAAAAAATCAATTATTAAGAGTATGTTGAAAAAATTATTTATTAACTATCATTTCTTGAGTATTCTTTGGCCAATCAGAAGTAAATTTATCTCGAATAATAACTTTTTAAAAATTTCATTGAGATTTTTCATTTTCCTATTTGAAGACATTAGCAAATGGCTATCATTTTTTTTCGTTATCGATGTTGTACCATGTTCATCAGATGTTTGTTATGACAAGAGTTTAGTGCAGGAATTAAATTTTCTAAATTCACAGATCATGTTTGCTTATTTAAAATTATCTTTTCAAAAGCTAATCGTACAAGCTTGTATGTGATATATATTGACCAGGAATGAGAAATAAGCATGTCGATAACTGAATTATCGTCAAGCTCGTGACTCGAAATAAATTGATGGGAGGCACAGTTTTTCATTTTTCGATGATTTTTAAGGTTAACGAAGTCATCATGGATTCAGCGTCAATGTCCAAACAATTATCATTTATTAATATCGAATCAATGCATCAATATATTATCAACCATGCAAAGAATCCCTCTCATTACGCTGATGAGCCATTTATTGATTACGATTCGAACTTGAATCAAATAGGTGTGGAAAAATTCACTTGGGATCAGTGTATCGATATGTTTAGATCAGATATATTTCTCAAAACTCATTCAATTGAAGAAAATAAACGAATGATTGAATATTTTTATAAAAAATATTCTAAGATCGATACAGATGATGGTATAGATATTGGTATTCAACAAATTCCATTTCTCATGGATCAAAACAATCGTTTACAACGAATCAAAGATATTTATTTTCCAGCTGACACAATTGTTGATAATGGAACAATCGATTCTGAATATTTATTTGTAAATAAAACAATATTCGCTTGGTTAAATGAAAAAATTCAAAAAGAAATAAAAAAATGGTTGAAAGATATGGGTGTGGATGAACGAACCGATTTAACATATTTACGTAAAACAATTATTCCGAATGTGGCTTTTTATCTTACACTTGAAAATGCGGTAAGAACAATAAAAATGTTATTTATGCTATTTCAAAAGAATGCTATTACTAAAAAGGAACTTGATNTTGTAAATCAAGCCAATATGAAACAGCTTCTTGTTCTCTAATATATAATTCTCGTGATGTTGAATGAATTAAAATGTCTAGAGAAGAACATTGAAAAGAATTGAAATATAATTGTGATGATTGATTTTTATTTTCAAGTAAATTATTTAAAGCTGAATTTAAACATGGCATTGTTAAAGGCCATTGAGACCATGAAAAGAATTTTTCTTGTTCAAAATTCGACCATTGATAAGTAAAACGAAATTTATCATCAGCTAAGAAAATTTGATGAATATTGAGAAATATAATATTATTTCTATCTGTTGATGATAATAAACAACTCGAATTTTTCGACAGAAAATTCAAATTTACTTGTTCGAAATTTGATATTTTCACATGAAAATTCAAATAAATATGACAAATTGGATGAAAATCGTTATTATTTTTCGATTTTTTCAAACATGTTATTTTAAGATACTCAATTGTTTCGTTGGAATTATTTGTAAAATAGTTCAAATGAGTTTTTTCCATTGATGTTAAATTTATCTTTAATGTCAAATAATGATTATGAAAAATTGGTTGAAATGAACTTTTTTCTATACGAGATAATTCTTTTTCATACAATGAAAGTAATTTAATCTTAGATGTTCTCATTAATATTGATGCATTTCGAGAAGGTTGTTCATGAATCCACTTCCATTTCAAATCAGGTTGAAAAGTAAATATAACAGCTAAAATAAATATAATCAAACCAATAATACATTGAATCTTTGTAACGGCATATAATCTTTTTATTATTTTTATATATACTTCTAACATTGATAAATAATAGAAAAAGTCAAAGATCTGAAAATTTATATTAAAGAACTATAAGAAAATATCGTGGTAGTTTTCTTTTTCATATAATGATCTTTTATGATGGATTAGGTCCAAATCAGCTTCTTTTTAATTGTTTCAAGCTGGGACGCCTCCTTCAAGTAGGTAGTCAATTTGTTCCCAATCAAATGTCGTTAGCGATTAATTGATTTCAAAGTCATTCTCATCTTGTCTAACAGTCGACAAGGACGCAAGAGAAGAAAATTAAATAACTAAATAACGATCTCACTATGGGCACAAGCATGTAAAGTCTATGGGAACAACAATCTTACAGAATTAAAAGGTATTCTTAATTAACAAGAAAAAATGAATTTTAAAAGTTGGTTTCATGGAAGGGTGTTCACAATTTTAATAAAATTGGAGCGGATGGCCTTGATAGGCATATGTATCGATTACTGTCGTTATGCGTTCCTGATGAAAACAGCAAAAATAATCCGATATATGAAACAAATGCTTCATCAGTTATCAGCATATCAACAGACTAATTTTATTCCGGTCAATTCAGTAGTTAATCAAGGGCAACAATTTCACTTCAATGGTGAAGTAGTGCCAAGCTCGTAATATAATTTATATATGCGTAAAAAGAAGTGGAGACTAATACATTTTATCATTCATACTTTTTTTACTTTTTCTTCTTTCTATCGTCCTTCTATATATGTCCCATATTTTGTAAACTGTCTTATAGACTGTTCTCTGATCCAGTTCTTTTCTCCACTTTACAGTTGTAAAAAAAATATATGTATCCAGAAGCACCACCAGTACCAAGCACATTGTAGCATTCGTTCCGAGCGAGACATTCCAAAACACTGCATATGGTTAAAAAACAACGAAATAACGGTATAAATTTGCTTCTCGTATAATTCCTCCAACCGTTTTTTGCTGGAAAAATTAATAAGATGGATATAGCAATTAAATGCGGCCAATCTGTCAAGACTAGCTATGCCAAATAATGGCTTGTCTTTTGATATTAACTAAATTTTGTATTTTATAATTTTTTTCTGTTCTTTCTTATGCTTGTAAAAAAGGATATGCTGATACTTTTTTTTTTTTTATTCTATAATAAGAAGTGTCTTTCATACTCAATAGAACCGCATTAGTAATCCATGCGTATAAAGATTAAATGGTAATTTAATCGGAAGATAAATCTAGAGTGAGGGCGGATTTGAAAACAATTGAGAAGAGACGAGTCAATGGAGAATGTAGTTTGGAACGAATTAGACATATGCCTTTATGATTTATCTCTCATTTTTTGTTGAAATTACTCAATTCTATAAAGCTAGATTAGAAGAAGAACATATTTTTAAATGTCTTTCTTCTCTTCTATTTTTAACACTTAGAGCAATCCAAAAGTATTGGTACAGATATTTTAATTCATCATAACAAGCTTAAAGAAACTTTCTCTTTATATAGTTTCATATTAAAAAAAAAACTAATCCTCGATTTTTCTGTAATATTTAATCATTTGTCAACTAATATAATAATAATAAAATTTTGATACGATTTGCTTTTTATAATATGTGTCTTCTTGATGTTCTTCTTTTTTCTAGTCTAATGTCTAGCTGTCTATATATATTAAGGAAAAACAAAGTTTATGAAGTGGGACACAACATGATGCAACAATTCTGATTTGTTTTAAAAACTTAGATTTTGTTTAATTAAGTTGAATAACCAAAAAGTCACATGGTGCCAGATTTCAGAGAATTTTCTAAGAACTTACTGAACTTATTTCTGTATCTCTTTTTGGTTCTATCGACATCACTTTTTGTATATCCTAATATGTCTAGATGGCTCGGTATAAGAGGACACGAGAAAAAAGCGAAACAACAGGTTATACGTCGAAAACAAACTGTAATCTAATATTACCGTCACATATCATAACAAACAGCTATCATGGAAATTTTATTATTTTTATATTAGTTGAAGAATAACTAAACATCATAGAAAGATAGACTATTGTTTTTCCTATCAGACAACATAGAGAGAAAGTTTGTTTATGTTTGTCATAAAGAATTAGAGTGTGGGTATTGGCGCGGTTGAAATCTTTATTCGATCACATCCACTTCAATTTGCCTTTATTTTCATCCTTGCCAGATGATTCATATATATTTCTAGAGATACTTATGAAAACAATTTTAATTGTAAAGTTAAAAGAAGTTCTTTAACTTTTTCATTTCTAAGTACTTATGAGTATATTAATTTGCAGACATGAATTTCTCAAGTTTCTTTACATCAATATATAAATTCTTCTAAATTACAAAAAGCTCATATATCGTATGTATATTGTTGCAGATTCCATTTATTGTCATCACTTCAATCAAATTCAATGCTAAACAAATGTTTCTCACTTTCAGGAGATCATTCATTATTTCATAAATGCATATTCACTGAATTAGTATGCTACTTAGATCAAACTCAAGAACAGGGTGTGGATGCAGGGAAGACGTCACCTATACACAGACACACACCCATGCCCTTTTAATTTCTAGTCAGTCATGATTTCTTTATTATTTATTGTTAATCCATAATTTGTTCTAAAATAGATAAATAGTAGAAGTGAATTCGTCTATAAAAATAAAAGTTTAACAATAATTTGAAAATAATCTTCTTTTTATTTCGATGAGAATAAAATACAAAATAAATCTGTCACTTCTTAAAAACTTTTTGATTATTCCTCATATTTGAGGATGTATTTTGAATATTTAACTAATAATTAATTGAATAATATTATCAACGAATAATTATATTCCTGAATAATGATGACCTGAAACTGCGAGTGGTAAACTTTGATTATCACAAGAAGGTTGTTCGTCAAGAAACAATGAATAAATATTTCGTAATTTTAAAGATGCAAAAGCTGCAATTCGACCAAATCCACTCGCTGTAGTAATTAAATGTTGTTCACATAAACTAAAAAGAAAATGATCAAATATTCCTAATTGAAAAGCTAATCTTTGATTAGTTGTATAAGTTATATGAAAAACTGGATCGGAATTTGTTAAAATATATAAATCATTATTATTCCATTGACAATTATTTTCAAATGATTGAAAACATTCTAATGAGAATTTCCAACGTTTTAAAGCAGCTTGACGTATTTGAAAATCATCAGATAAAAGAAAAATAATTGGAATTTGATTTGTTTCACGAAATAATTTCTTATTTGTATTAATTATTTGTCGAGAGCATGTAAAAAAGTTTTCAAATTTTTTAAGAATTGTTTTTTCATCTGAAAAATTTCTTTTTCCAGTGATTGTTTCGTCTCCCGCACGAATCTGCATTCCAATAGGAAAAAATCTCGGTGATAAGAGTGTTTGTAAAATTTGTTGAGGTGAATGATCTGATTGGTTATTTGAAGAAATTAATGGAACTTGTTTAATCAATTGAGATAAACGATAAGTAAATAGAGAATTATAAAGACATCCAAAAATATTTTCTGGATTCATTTCAAGATCAATAGTTAAAAATTTTCTATAAAGACTTGATTTTGATGTAATCATATGTACAACACCTCCTATCCGTCCTGTAAATATAAGAATACGTTCAGGACAATTTTTTTCATAATCATAATCGCTAGTATACCGAGCCAAAGAAAACCATCTATATTCTTGGATTGTTAAACTCTTTTGAATATTTAAAGATAAATTTTTCTTCATCCGATCAAATTGAGAAAACCAAGGAATAATCAGTTCTTGTTGATAATTTAAGCTTGATTGCATAGCGTCTATAAATTCTGACCAATTGTTATCAAATATAAATAATCGATTTGTTAATAAAGCTACCAGATAACTTGATATTAAATGAGTTGTTCGATCTGCAATACCAGTTATATGTTTTTTATAGATTAAAAATCGAACATTAAGTTCAGTTATACGTTGCAATTGTTCTTCAACTGTCATCGATCGATTACTAATAGCCAAACTAATATTTTCATGCCATTTTTGATAATTTAAAATCCAATTTTGAAATTTATTTGAACATACTTGACTATTTTTAGCTAATTCAAATGGAGCTAACCGTCTTGCTTTTATTGAATTATTATTTTTATCTGAAAATTTTTCATATATTGACACATTACTTTGTAAATCAAGCCAATATGAAACAGCTTCTTGTTCTCTAATATATAATTCTCGTGATGTTGAATGAATTAAAATATCTAGAGAAGAACATTGAAAAGAATTGAAATATAATTGTGATGATTGATTTTTATTTTCAAGTAAATTATTTAAAGCTGAATTTAAACATGTTATTGTTAAAGGCCATTGAGACCATGAAAAGAATTTTTCTTGTTCAAAATTTGACCATTGATAAGTAAAACGAAATTTATCATCAGCTAAGAAAATTTGATGAATATTGAGAAATATAATATTATCTCTATCTGTTGATGATAATAAACAACTCGAATTTTTCGACAGAAAATTCAAATTTACTTGTTCGAAATTTGATATTTTCACATGAAAATTCAAATAAATTTGACAAATTGGATGAAAATTGTTATTATTTTTCGATTTTTTCAAACATGTTATTTTAAGATACTCAATGTTTTTGTTGGAATAATTTGTAAAATAATTCAAATGATCATTTCCCATCGATGCTAAATTTAATTTTAATGTCAAATAATGATTATGAAAAATTGGTTGAAATGAACTTTTTTCTATACGAGACAATTCTTTTTCATACAATGAAAGTAATTTAATCTTGGATCTTCTTATTAATATTGGGTCATTTTGTGAAGATGTTTCATAAGTCCGCTTCAATTTCAAATCAGGTTGAGAAACAAATAAAAGAGTTGAAAGTAATATAATCAAAGCCAAAATATATTTAATCTTTGTAAATGCACATAATTTTCTCCTTATTATTCTTACATATAGTTTTAACATTAATAAATAATATGAAATAGTCAGAAATCTAAAAATTTATATTTTGAAGAACCATTAGAAAAAGATTAACTTTCGATGAGAACTCAATGGAGTTCAATAATGCACTATACATAATTAGAAAATAAATAAGAAGAATGAGAATTATTCTTCGATTTTTATACATATGTTCATCTTTTATCTTTATCCATTTATTTTCATTATATGATAATAATAAAATTTTGATAATATTTGTTTGTCATAATATATGACCGTAACAAGAAATCACATTTTGTGTTTGAATATGTATTGTCTTCGTGATCTTCTCTTTATTCTTCTTTTTTTCTCATCTTCTCTAATGTCTGACCATCTATATATATACTTTCAACTGTTTAGATTTTGCTTGATTAAATCGAATAACCAAAAAATTACATGTTGCCAGATCCCAGAGAATCTCTCTATCTTTTTTTCTTGATCTACAAATATCACTTTTTGTATATCCTAATATGTCTAAATGGCTGGGCATAAAAAAAGGGACGGAAAAAGAAAAAGAAGAGTGAAGAAAACATCAATAACAGATTATACATCAAATACAAAATGTAATCTAATATTACCGTCGCATAGCATAACAAACATCTCTTATCGAAATTTTATTACCATGATATTAATTGATATTATGGAAACATAGAGTATTGTTTTTACTATCAGACTTCATAGAGAGAGAAAGTTTGTTTAATAAATGCGTATCCAGTGAATCAGTATGTCACTTAAATTAAACTCAAGAATAGCTACAATAGTAGTGTAGCTAACATTTTTAAACAATAAAAATTTCAATGGCACCAATAGTAGTTTTCAACAGATTTTGGCGCAAATTACTTATTTACGTATTTCATTTTCTATATATTGTTAACCAATATACAAGTAGGTTATATTGCCTAATACAATTAATTACGACTCATACAGGTTAATGAAGATGCACAAATACAAAGACTATATCGATCATTTTACAGCAATAAATCACCTCCCGTTTTGTAATGAGTCTTTTTTTCTAAAACTCTTTCCCTATTCGTGAGTTTATAGAAAAGATATAGTTTCCTCATATTTTTTTACTCATAAAAGCATTAATCTAAGGTCATTCAATGTAACATATTTTCATAGACAAATACTTCGATCAAACATGGATTCATAATGACTTGAAGTTTCAATATAATATCATCCATCAAATTCAACTTGATTTTTTTCATCTATATATTTGATTTCTATATATTCACCTTTGTTGAAACTTGGCCGAACATGTAAACATATAATTGTTGTCTTTGTAATATTATGAAATTCAGTTGAAATTATAAACACATGAATGAAAAAAACGTTCATGAATAGGTAATTGTTGAAGATGATAAATATTTGTAAATGAATTAAAATCAAGTTTTAATTGACAATATATAGTCATTTGACTTTGCCACAATGGATGTATTCATTCAAGAAATCATTATTTGTCTTCCATTATATCGTGGAATATTGTGATAAGTAATACATACATAGAAAATTAGACTTATAATCAAGACAATTAATAGTTTGTAATGATTGAAGATTTGAACAATTCATCAGAGGTATTATTCTGCACTTGTACTATTAAAATCCGTAGATTTAACCAAAACAAGATATGAGTGATCAATGAATAAGATTGGTAGTTATATAAAATTGTATATGATTACCATCAGTTAAAACAAAAATCGACGCATGAAACATAACTTTGGAATCATGAAAAACGATTCTATGAAATTGAATCTTCATATTATTGGATTTTGAAATGTTAACGTTCAATGAAACAATTGGATTTGAATGATATTTGATCCATGTTCATTCTCAAGATAAATTAATTAAAGTAGATAAAATACAAAAATTCCATTGCTATGTTATATTTTCTGAAGTATATTTCGATAGAATTGTTTCTCAAAATTCAAAACAACCATTTGTATTAAAATGTCATTGCTCCGATCAAAAAACCATAAGCCATATGTTATTCTTGTCATGTTAAAATACCAATTATTTGATGTATAATTATCTCTTTTTGAAATTCAGTAACATTATTCAAATCAAGAATAACTGAATCTGACAAAATATTAACTTCTTCATTTTTAGGTTTTATTTCAAGTAGTAATTCAATCGACGCAATCAAATCTTTACTATCGGCATTATTCGAATGAATATTAATAGATTTAAGTTCTTGACGATAACCAAATACAATGCTGATGTGAACATTCATCTTCAATCAACTGAAACGAATATGTGACAATAAAAGTTCACTACATTATCAATAAGTTTATCTTACATGTATTATATTGTTAAACAAGAAGACAGATTTATATGCTAAACTAGAAAAACAAAACGATTACTTTTGCAAGTACTCATCATGTATACATACATACTTTTATTTATGTGTTATAATTAATTGTAAAAGTTCAGATAACTTAACTAGACACAATATTTTTTTTTAAAATATACTATTGTATATTTTCATGAGAGCGACATTATTTGTTATGTGCATATTTGTCTTTATTATGGCCATGAAAAAGAATAGCAAAAGATACGGATGATTAGCTCGATGATCAAACAGATATATCACAATATATATAAAATAATACGTAACGATTTTTTATCAGTATCTAATAGCTGAAACAGAGAAAAAATGTGAAAATATGATTTATATTAACTGTTAGCCTTGCTGGAATCTCTTTTTTTTTGTTTGGGAAAAATATATAAATAGTTCATTTTCATTGTTTAATAGAAATTGATGTAAACCATAATCGCATAGCATGAAAGATTTCTTTTAAAGTTTATTAAACAGTAATCGATATAAGTGTGAAAATCACGATCAACAGGAGGACGATATAATATAATTTATTTCGCAGTTCATAGTTTTAAATGTATGGAATAGTAATTATAAAAGAATAGATTAATAAAATTGAGTATATAGAAAATTTTAAGCAAAATTACTGTAGATAGAGCATGTTTTGGGAAGAAGAAGTTAATGAAAACCTTCAACTATTCGGTAAATCATTTCTTTCGCTTCCAAAAGTTCTGTTTTCAAGAAAGATCGTCACAAAAAACTATTTTGAAATATAAAAAAATTCTATTCGTAGATAAAAAATTGAAGAAATAAATTGAACAGGTCTTTTTGAACTGAATCATACATAGCCATGTTTGTAATCAAAATCTATTGTTACATTTTGATTGTTTCAAACGATATAAATATTATTCTTTGATGAATGGAATGCAGTCTTAATTCATATACACTTGATCGAACAAAAGAAAGTGGCCGTGATAGGAACACTTTTGAATTCATGATATTTTAAGCTGATATGTCAACTGCATCAGAATATTGTTAAACTATTATTAGATTGAAAGAATATTTGCATTAAGATTTTCTTCAGAAGGGTGTGAGCGTTGGTGTGCCGAATTATGATTTGTAGGAACATCTAGATGCACACTCACGACCCTTTCTTTTTGATAGTGGTATCGATGAGGTAACCTAGATGTTGTCTCCTTTCAATATTTCTGTCTTATTCTATTCGTACCACTATCAAAAAGAAGAATAAAAGTAATAAAGAGAAGAATATATACACATACAATTTTGAACATTAATGACACTTCTAAGAAGAAGTTCTGAAGAAGATCAATTCAGTATCGAAACGTCAACAAATATTGTTAAATTATAATTTAATGTTATTTTTATTGGAATTATTATATTTATTCATTTTAGCATTTTTGTCATCATTTTATTGCTATCTTAAATTAACTTTCTATTATATTAGTTACATTTTTTTATGAAATACAGTACTAAATAAAGAAAGAGAATTGCTTAAAATATAAAATTAATCTGCCCTTCCATAACCGACTTCACATTTAAAGATCAAAAAGTATTTTAATGATCATTTTTTTTGTTATTCACTTGACTGGGCTGTTCGGCAAATGGTAAAAATAAAGTACCCTTCGTTCTTCTTACAGATTCCCAGGACACACATTACGATCGCGATAGTCGTAAATGATGACAGACAATGTTGTTACAGTCGTATATAGTATGAATGACGAGCGTATTCAGTATAAGTTACAATTATATTTCGTCGTATTACTTGACTTCTGAAATACAATATATATGTAATCAAAGTTATCGACCGTATATAGTTGTATATGATGTCGTGTGCTATCTTACTTGAATATTTTTCTTATTCAAGAGGAAAGGATTTTCTTCCCCTCTTCCTGACAGACGAACTTTTGTGTTTTCTTTTTGAAAAAGATTACTTACTGTTTATTTTGTTATTTGAATTGATCCAAATAAAAAGAATAAATTATTTATTTTAAAATGAATACTCACTCTGAAATACGTTTTTTTTTGTTTCAATATAAATAAAAATAAAATAATTTAATTTAATTCAAAAAAATACTTGCTTTTAATTATGTTGTTCGGATTATTTGAAATTAAACAATTATTTTTTTTTATAGAAATATCTCTCATGATATTTATTGTTGAATTAAAAATGAAAATTTTATGTGCTTGATAAGTGCAACTTGACTAACGACTTATGTACGACTAGATACGATCGTGTACGATAGTCGTATGCGACTGACGTTTACGTCCCTTGCATACGTTGTTCATGTTTGAATGTATGATGGCGTATACGATTACTTGCTATAGCGTTTTTGCATGCTGGATTACTAACAAAAACTATTCATAAAGACAATATCAACAAGACTGCAAATATAAACTCTATCGAGTTTTCTGACAATGGCTATTATACAGGGGCGTAGCTAAGACTTTGATAAGAAGAATGCGCAATGCTGTAAATATTTTAAGGTTTCTCCTAATATTTGCCTACCAAGAGTTAGACAACTTTTTTTGGGACTCTAGAAAAATTTCTGGCTTCTTTCATCTATCTGTAACAGCCTATCCCAAATAAAATAAGTTATTATTGTAAATTTATTTTTATTGTTGTACAAGGCACAAAAACAAATATTTCTCTATACTAAGCCTGAAAAAATAGAGAGTTCTGCGTGTCAGTTGGTAAATTTAATACGCCATTTATCTTTGCAAAACATTTTGATAGTATGGTTTATATTCAAATTGGCTGCAATATCACAATGCATATAAATTAAAGCAAGATTAATTAGGCATCTATCATCAATACTGCTCCGAAGGGGAGTTTTCATTGTTTGAAAATGTTTGTTCAGCTGTAGCAACAGCCACAGCCAGTATCGCAAAGATTCCAAATAAGTAGTTGAACTTTAGATCAAAAGATTTAATAGAAATCACAGCATTTAAACAAGTAGTGACATTCGATAATCTTTCATCTTCTGAAGCTCTTTTCTATTTATATTGCCACAGCTCACATTCTGCTTTGATAACGTCAATATTGTTTGATGATAAACCACTCTCATAAAATTCAAAGATATATTGTCCATCATTTAATGCTTTATCAGTAACAGTTGCAAGCAGTAAATCGATAATATTATTTGCATTTTATGAGTGCTTACTGAATACTGTATTTAATACTAATAATGTTGTTTAAATCAGAGTGTAGGTGGGTATTAGTGTACCTGTAATTGTACTTGTGGCTCCGTGTGAGTGGCAGTAAGGAGAGCATCTATACAAACGTATATTCACACTTATCTTTACATGCACAGATGCACCTTAAATTATCTCCTTCTAGATATTTATTAGTTTAATTTGATACACATTTCATTTTCATTTATCTAGTCAATAGGCTACATGAAAAGCAAAGAGTATAAAGTATAAGAAGTATACTATTCGAAAACTAAATAGATATGTTCTCGTCCATATAATTTGATAAAGCTTATTAAACATCTTTGGAGGAAGAAATACAGTTCTTGCAACAACCGGTTAAGAATGCAAGTAAACATCCAAGGATACCGCACGGAATCAAACAGAGGGTTGATGAACCACCAACAATTGCTAGAATGTACATAACACGATCATACGTGCTCAATGCCACTATACCAGCAGCAGCTACTTTCAGTGCTTGAATGCCATATATGAAACCTGTTATTGAAGCGATCAAAGTTATTATCACAATGAAAACGAATACGATACAATACCAAACGTATTGTATGAACAGATCGCCCTCAAATAATTCATCTAATTTTGACGATGGATTGACTTAGAACTTGAAGAATACAATGATGGCGACGTTGGATGTGTCTTACGTCTGTGAGTCAACTTAAAGTCAAATATCATTGCTAACTTAATGCAATCCACAATGTACGTGACACAAAACGAAGATATAACTTCGAGAATTCCGTAGAAGAAACTTCGAAAGCGTGAAGGTCGCGGGATAAAGAAAGTAATCAACGGTAAAACATGAAAAATTCATAGACAATCAAACCGATAATGAGTCCAATTATGCGTATTTTACATGTGAGCTGGCTTTTTTTTTACATCCAGCATTTATTGAAATTTCAATCAATGCTTGAAGAAAGATTTCTACCTGTGGATGGCCAACTATAAATTCAAACGCAGACAAACCATTAATGCCCATAATAATTAGGAAGAGGTGTTTATCTAGATCGTCATCGAATCCTACTTTTCTAGTGAGGATATACACATAGATTTGTTCACCACAATTAACTACTTGAAAAAAAATCTCACAGATCGGAATAAAATACTGTAGAAATGATGCACAACTCATTATCAACGATGATATACGTAATAAAAGTAAAAAGCAAAACAATAATTCCTTTGATGACTCTCATGTCGTCTATCTGTACCGGGGATGCTGAATTAAATAGTTCTCTAACAAGAAAAAGAACGAAATGAAGAAACACGAAAGCAAGATTGTTTTCGGCGAATATTATTTGTTCGAAGCTTAAGTTTCATGATGTTTACATAGTTTAAAAGTCAAGAAATAAATATTCAAAACGATATTTCTTGCTTTCACTCTAATTTTGACATTTGCTATTCCATTTTCCATCAAACACACGTTAGCACCATATGCGATATTTGCAGTTCCGACTCGTAAACGTATCTGTGCTATTATTCTAGTTAGTTGTGTTGGTTGCAGAATTTGATGTTAAATCCAATGGTACCATCATCAGAGGAGGTCATCTGACAAAAAAAAAGAAAGTTTACTTGGAAAAACAGGTTTTTTACTAGGTTTCACGGAGTATTTCTTGACCGGATTCGCTTATACATCTGTGCTATTGTTGTAGCTAGTTGAGCTGGACGTAGAATTTCATATTTAATTTGATAGAACCATTTTCAGTGGAAGTCATCAGACAAAAATGGGGATTTACCAGAAAAAACATATTTTTTTACCGACTTTTGGTGGTGGTGAAGGGAGAGGGAGTGTTTTCTCTTTAGATTTGGATCTTTACTTGTGATTTCCACTTCTGTGATTGTAATAAGTGCTCAATCAAATTGTACATTGACGGAAAGTACTTCTAAGAGGTTTAATTTAGAAGAAACGCAAGTTCAAGAGGTTACACTAGTAATATAAAAGATTTTCAAGGACTAAAGAAATCCTTTAAATACTACATAGGAGTATAACAATTCGCCAATATCCGATTGACACCCATGAAAAAACACTTAGAAGTCATGCAGAATTCACACGCCTGGACCAGGAATACAATATCTTTAAACGCCCGGCAAATTACTAGTTTAAGCCTCAAATTCCCATTTTTTGTCTGACAACTCCCTCTAAAAAATGGTATCATTGGATTCAATCTAAAATTCTTCATCCAGTACAATCAACTAGAACAATAACACAGACGGGTAGACGAATCCAGACACGAAATATCGAATTTGGTGCTATCTTTAGTGACTTTCAAACATTGAATTTAGTATTACGGTTATTGTTTGATAAATATTGGATATGTTTTAGAGATTGGATGTGTAAGTGGATAAAAGACTCGCATCCATATTATGCTTTCACACTGGCATACAGACTCATAACCGCACGAATTATACGTTTACTAAGCTGAGAATTATTGAAAAGTCAACGATGACCCGAAATGGATTCTTAGGAGTCTCTATCTTTTTCAAATGATCAAATACTCATAAAAAACCATCGACTACAGAACACTTGTCTTCTTTAACATTATCTCTCTTAAACGAACGTATTATAGGTGAAGTGTTCTCGTTAACGTTTGCATTGAAGGAGTGTTTGCTTTTTTCGACCATAAAACTTATCAATCCATAATTTACCAGACCGTATGTTTTACAGTCAGTGTATAGAAGCAGACACTACAGCATCATGTTTTTCGCAGTTTGTATCAAAGTTGCTTCCTTGTTATCGAAATCATCGACTGTAATATCCACTAATAATATAATTGCAATTCACGTGTCCGAAAAGAAGTCTATAATGCGAAGATAAGGGTGGAAATGGATGTATTGGTATGACTGTGGGTGAAGGAAAGACATCCACATGCCACACCCAGAACACGATGATAAATTTTTTACCTTAATTTTTGTTTTTGCTTGATGTATTTTTGTGTTTTCTATCATGTTAATTTTTTTTCTTGAGTGCTATATATTTATTTTATGTAAAATAATTAACCATATACCTTTTTATTTTGATTCAAACCAATGTTAACAAAAGAGAATTTACAAAAATCAAGAGCATATATACACAGAATTATCGGAAGTCGACCAAAAAAAAAAAAGAATTCATCGAAATAGTTTTCTATTCGGATATATTTAATTTTAGTCAAACAAACAGACAGTATAAAAAATTCATAAATTTAAAACTTATTTTTCTCATGCTCTAATACTTATAATTTGAATGTGAATAATAGCCTCTGACTTAATAATATATTTTTAATGCACTTGGTTATATATTGTTTTTCGAGTTTGATGTATAAAATCAGACTATTAAATTCAACATACATTACGAAACAATACTTTCTTTTTACTATAATTTTCATAGAATAATTAGAGAAACCAATCGTTCATATGCATGTCATCTGAGTTGATTGCGAAATAGAAACAAATATGACTAATTATTTAAATAACAGGGTCGAATGAAATGTTATTTTTAATCTTAAATCAAGTAAATCTAATGAATTTGTTTTAGTGTGACTTGTATCAATAGTCAATTAATCGGAAAATATGAATATTCTAATTGAATAATTCTAGTAAAATTGTGAAAGTTTCCCGTAGGTTTATTATTCACATATTTTAAATTGAAAAATCATATCTAAGAATTCATTATTAACAATTTCAAGATATATTCGAATTAATTTACCCAAAGTAGATAAAAATAACATCAATATGAACGAAGAAATTATCTTCATTTATTGTAAATAATCGAAATAGTTTGATATTTTTATGTAACAAAACCCAATCATCTAAAGTTCCCAAAAAATAAGCATAACGAATATCACGTGAAGTTATATTATCTGTATAGTGAAAATGCTTTTTTTTAAAGATATTCGTCATATAGCCACAGAAAGCAGAAAATACTCAACTTTAGTGATTGTAGAAAAATTTTTTGTCAAGCCAGTAGACATAATTCTTTGTATGATATTATCATTTGCAAGTTTGTCTGATCGAGAAAATTTTCTCAAATATAAGTATTTCTAATTTATTTTATCATAAAACAATTACAAATTATTTCATTATAAGAAAATTCTTTCCATGACTATACTCCATTTGAACTCATATTATATTGCTAATTGATACGGTCTACTGAGCTGATAGCAGTCATCAAAGTATGTATACTATTAGTGCTTTTTCTCAGAAACAGATCTCATGTTCCTTTTAATATCCTGAAAGGTTCAGAAAAAGAAAAGACAGGTTTCTTTTGAAGATATTGGATACACAAAAACAAACACGATTCTCTTGAAGAAGTAAGGGGTCTTGAAACATTGTTATTCTGAAGTAGAAACATTCGTTTTGGCTGACACTTTCAGAATATTATATGAACTACAATATCTATTTTCGGGTGAAATTTCAGACTAAAATTCATGTTTCATTTTTCCTCTTGATACTCTGCAATAGGTTGAAAATCCAATAAAATGATCATAATACAAGAAGAAAGTGCTCATAGCACATATCCTTTTAAGATTTTTGTCTGCACAATAAATCTTATGACAATGAACAAAATATGAGTTTTAAAGGAGAGTATTTGTTGGAAGGAATCTCTTTTAAGATTCAATATTTTGTGAAACACGATCTGAAAGGAGTGTTGAAGTGTTTAAGGTTAGAAATTTGGACCCCCCCCCCCCCCCCCCCCCGCCTGTGCCAGGACGGGGTTGGGCCCCCCCCCAGACNNGTAAAAAGAGAATGATAAAGACATCCAAAAATATTTTCTGGATTCATTTCAAGATCAATAGTTAAAAATTTCCTATAGACACTTGAATTTGATTTTATTGCATGTATAACACCTCCTGTATGACCTCTAAATATAAGAATACGTTCACGACAATGTTTTTCATAATCATAGTCTGTATTGTGTCGATCGAAAGAAAACCAATAATCTTTTATTGTTAAATTATTTTGAATGTTTAAAGATAAATTTTTCTTAATCATATCAAACCGAGAAAACCAAGGAATAACTGATTCTGGTTGATAATTTAAACTCGACTGCATAATGTCTATAAATTCTGACCAATTTTTATCAAATATAAATAATCGATTTGTTAATAATGCTGCTAAATAACTTGAAATGAAATGAATTATTCGATCAGCAATACCTGATGTATGTTTTTCATAGATTAAAAAACGAACATTAAGTTCAATTATACGTTGAAATTGTTGTTCAAATGTCATTGATCGATTATTAATATTAAAAGTAATATTTTCATGCCATTTTTGATAATTTAAAATCCAATTTTGAAATTTTTCTGAACATACTTTATTATTTTTTGCTATTTCAAATGGAACTAGACGTCTTGTTTTAATTGAAATATTGTTTTTATCCAAAAAATTTTTATTAATTGACTCATTATTTTGCAAATCAAACCAATATGAAAGAGCTTCTTGTTCTCTAAGAAATAATTCTCGTGAAGTTGAATGAATTAAAATATCTACAGAAGAACATTTAAAAGAATTGAAATGTAATTCTGAAGGTTGATTTTTATTTTCAAGTAAATTCTTCAAAGCCGAGTTTAAACATTTCGTTGTTAAAGGCCATTGAAACCAAGAGAATAATTTTTCTTGATCAAAATTCGACCATTGATAAGTAAAACGAAATTTATCATCAATTAAAAACATTTGGTGAATATCAAGAGATATAAAACCAGATGTATTTTTTAATGATAATGAACAACTCGAATTTTTTGATAAAAATATCAAATATATTTCTGTAAAATTTAATATTGTCACACGAAAATTCAAATAAATATGACAAATTGGATGAAAATCATTAATATTTTTCAATTTTTTTAAACAGGTTATTTTAAGACAATCAATTTTCTCGTTGGAATCATTTTTAAAATAATTTAAATAATTCTTTCCCATTGATGTTAAGTTTAATTTTAATGTCAAATAATGATTATGAAAAATTGGTTTAAATGAATCTTGTTCTACACGAGACAATTCATTTTCATATAATGAAAGTAATTTAATCTCGGATCTTCTCATTAATACTGAATTAATTCGAGCAGATTCTTCATAAATCCATTTCAATTTCAAATCATGTTGAAAAATAAATAAAAGAAGTAAAATAAATATAATCAAACCAAAAAAACATTGAATCTTTGTAATGGAATATAATCTTTTTTTTATTGTTTTTAAATATATTTCTGACATAGATAAAACAAATATAAAACAGTCAAAAATCTAAAACATTATAATAAAAAACCATTAGAAAAATATTATCTTTTGTTTAGAAAATAGTATTTATTAAAAAAAGGAATTTTCTATAAGATAGCTGTCTGATAAACCCATACGCGAATATTTCTCATTGAAAATCGATCGCAATTCAATGAATTGTATACTGAACATAATTAGAGGATAAACAAGAAGAATAAGAATTATTCTTTAATCTTTTATACTTACATATGTTCGACCTTTAGCTTTATTCATTCTTTTATATTGAAATTCTTTGATTCTATAAATTTAGAGTAATAGAAAAATATATTTCTAATTCTCTTTTTTATCATCTATTGTACGTACTTAGAACAATCCAAAAATAGTAGTAGCAATATTTTAATTCACTATAACCAGCATAAAGAAGCTTTCTCTTTAATATGGACTCAGTAAAACCAATACTGTATTTTTCTATGATATTTGATCTTCCTCCATTGATGTTATAACAATAAAATTTTGATAGAATCTCCTTGTTATAATATGTGACGGTAATATTAGATCACATTTTGTATTTTATGTCTCTTGTCTTCTTCTTTTTTCTCGTCTACTCCAGTGCCTTGCCATCTATATATTAGTGGATACAAAATGGATTTAAGAAATTGGACAAAACACAATACAACGATTCTGAATTGTTTTAAACGTTTAGGTTTTATTTGATTAAGTCTAAAGAATTTTTTTAAAAACTTGATGAACTTATTTCTGTATTGTTCTACCGATACTCTGTAGACTACCAGATATTCAAGAAGACAAGAAAAAAGAAGACTAGATCACACATTGAAAACGGAATGTTATCTAATATTATCATCACATGTCATAACAAAACAGCTCTTAGCGACATTTTGTGATTATGATATGAATTGAAGAATGGTCATATATCATAGAAAAATAGAGTATTATTTTTACTATCAAACTACATAGAGAAAAATTTTGTTTAGGCTTTTTTATGAGAAATTAAAATATTTTCATCGCTACTGTTGAATCGTTCTAAGTACATTGTCTGTTCATAATAAAAAGATTTCGTGCTTTTTTTTCTCTTCATTTTCTTATATAAATAATTATTTTGTATTTAAATAGCAAGATAACTGGAGTGTGAATGTCGGTGAGTCATTTATTGTTTAATGAATGCATATCCAGTGCATTAATATGTTACTTAAGTCACACTGAGGAACAGCTATGAGGGTAGTATAACTAACACTTTTGAACAGGAAAAATCTTATCCGAGTCGATAGCAGTTTTCAACAGTTTTTGGCTTAAAGTGCTCATTTACACATAGAAAGAACTTTTTTTGTCTTACTGATAAAGCAGACTTCTTGATCGCCAATGTTTTAAAACTTCGAAAACTATTTCTCATTTTCTATATATTGTTTAACAATATACGATTTCGTTGTACTACTGAACACAGTTAATTATAACCCATCCAGACCAATGAGGATGTACATACAAAAGTTACATTGACCGTTTTACAGCAACAGATCTCCGTTTGTTTTGTGACGAGTATTTTTCCTTCGAAAACTCCTCATCACTTCGTGAGATGATCTCTAGTTTATCGACAAGACAGATTTAATATATATATTTTCTATTTATAAAAGCATTAATTCAAGATAGTTCAATGTGATGCGTTATCTTTCAACCTATAGTTCGCTGTGGGAGTTAAAACTATTTTTTTTAAAGTTGATAGTTAAGAAAAACGGCAAAAAGTTAAAATGGTTATAACTCCGGTTATAGCTATCAACCATTTTAAATTGATTGCCTTTTTTTTGAATTTTTCAGTAGATTTAATTAAGTTGAAATAGTAATTGTTTTGATTTAATTGGTATTTTTGATAGATTAAATTATAATATTTGTATTTCATTGTTCTTTACTTCAAAAACTTAGTATTTATAGATTATTCTGAGATCTTTTTTTATGAATTCATCCTCAAATCACATTTTCTCGTAGGTATTCGTCGCCTTTGAATAAAACAATACATTCGTTAGTGTTCAACACTTTGAGCTTTTTCTATGTTAACGACTACGAACTACAGAGATATGGAGATCATAATCATTTTTATTGAACATTTATTTATCAAGCATACCCTATTTTGAATAAAAAAGTATAATTTTACAAGTTTCATAATAGAGTAACTGGGTCGAATGTTAATGTTGTTATAACTTTCATTCAGAGTTATAAATTTGGACCTTAATTAGAAACAGTTTNTTTCATAGAAAGGGTATTAGAACCTAAAATTTTAGGGTTAGCAGCTTTAGACATTGAAGTTTCGAATGAGCAAAAAAAATCGAAAAAAAAAATTTTATCGAGTGCCTTGTATACTCGATCCTCTCATGGACGCTCTCTTAAAAACATCGTCAATACGGCATGAGCAGTCATCGTTTTTATTTACTCATGAATATTGTTGACGACAATAAATCATCTGCAAATATGATCTCAAAAACACAAAAACCTAAATAAAAATCTCAATACAGCATAAAGTGATAAATATAAAATTTTGTGTATTGCATTAACAACCGAAACAATTGAATATGAAGATTTTGACTATTTGTTTAAAGATATAATGTGTAAGCAAAAAAATCCTTCAACTAATGCGACAATTTCAAGTAACCTTTAATATCGATATAAAACATAATTAAGAACAATAAACAGAACAGCTGTTTTCCGTTATTCTGATTTTATAACTCAAGGACCTATTCGAACGAATTGATAAGTTTATTGTTTTTCGTCAAGTATGTTTGATATAATCTGTCGGTTTGGCCCCGAATTCTATTGGATCTGGGTTCATAAACTTTGGATTCAATGTGCTCTACTCTACACACTTCTCAGACGGATCATCTGAGAAAATGTAGAATATACTAGTCACCGAATATTAAAAACTGAAAACAATTAGCTCTCATCATCGGAGTGGTTATTCTCTTTTGATAAGAAAATTTCATTGAAAGCATCAAAATATAGTTCGAGTAGGTCCGAGTTCGAAAATTTTGAATCCGGCAGAATCTAAAGTATAATAATACGTCTTGACCCATATTATTTCAGTGACTGATTATTTGTAATATTTGATATTCTCTTCGCATAGATATAATTTGAAATTTGACAGAAAAAATTCATCGCTAGTAATATTTTCACAGTCAAATTCATTTTGTTTGTATTTGATATTCTTGGACAATCCAGAACTTCTGATTAATCATCAGCGTTTAAATATTTTTTGCATAATAAATATTTCATTCGGATTAACGATTTCTTTAATTGATTTAAGCTGATTATAATTTTCCATTGCTTCAAGAAACTTTTGTCAATCTGGTTGATTTGGATCAGCTATATTCATATATACACGTAATTGAGAATTTTCTGCCATTGTTATAAAATTTCTACTTGTTTTGTAACATGTTTAGTAAGTTTTTGTTGTTCATCGCTAGACATTTCATCAAGCCATGTCCAAACATAGACCACATGAACAGTAGCAGTATACCATGTTAAATTAATACTGATATTTTGATTTGTAGTCGAAACGTCTCCACCAGCAACAAGATGTTTAATAGTTGATAGTAATTGCTTTCTTTTGGCCATTTATTTAAAGCAGTAATTTGCGAATTGATTTGGTTGATTACGAACAATGCTTTCAGAAATAAGACGTGCACCAAGTAGAACATTTCCATCTGTTGGATTTAGCTGTTCAAGAATGGTATCAAGAAAAATCACTAAATAATACAGACGAAAGAAGATTACAATCTGAGACGTTAAAATAACTGTAGTCATTTGTCAGTTGACTATTTAATGCATTAGTCATGTTAATATTTCCATTTGGTTAAGAAAAACGAAGTTATTAGAACTTTATCTGATAAATAAAAGTAACAAGCCCAGCCAACCTCTTCTAATTTACGTGACAATCGAACAAAATTATGAATAAAACTATTGTACGAAGTTTCATTGGGGGCGAGGGGGCAGAGCGGAATGGAAGAGGGAGTAGTAAAACTTTGAAAACTACCCACAAGCGATGGTGAAGAATGAATACATAATACAACTGAGAGTACAACAGCGAAAATTCCAGCACCACCACTTCATCATGGACAAAATAAATCTGAATTTCGGTATGATTTCATTATTTGACGACGTTCATCCGTTATAATAACATCAAATTCGAAAGCTTGATCAGAACCTCAACTTTTTAATCACGTCAATGAATCATGATCATCTCTTTGATGGGTGCTAGGACAATTCGTTGCAGGACAATTCGTCGCGGACAATTCGTTGCGGACAATTCGTTGCACGGACAATTCGTCGCAGGACAATTCGTTGCACGGACAATTCGTCGCAGGACAATTCGTCGCACGGACAATTCGTTGCATGGACAATTCGTTGCATGGGCATGAGTCAATCAAAATTAGTATCTACTTTTTAACAATGAAACAACTTATTCAATTAAATTTGAAACATGTAATTCAATGATCATAAAAATTATTATAAATACTACTAATGAATAAACTTCGATTTTTGATTTCTAACAGTACAATAGCCTTTTTGTGCCGATAAAAATTTAGTTTATTCGAGCTATATAAGTGATGAAAGTTTTCCTATACCAGTGGAAGTAGTAATGCACATTTTTTTAATTTATGCTGCAGCTCAAGGCTTCTGAAAATGAGAAAATACCTTGAAAAGACTAACAAAATTTAGCGTTCACTGAAGAAGAGCAGCATTGACGTCATTACAAAATAACTTTTAATGAATTTCTATTTTTAAATCTTCGCGTTTGACGTACAAATTCTGCTATTTTAGGGAGCATCACCTGTTATTTTTATATATTTAAAACGAAACTGATCGGATTGAGTCGTTGATTTATTCAATGTCCGGAATATTTTTGATGATACCTCGTAATCGAAGATTTTTTTATATCCTATTGACATTAATTATGGAGTAGAAAACGAATCTGATTTTTTGTCTTACTAGGATTGTTTATAGTGGACACCCCGAAATCAAAAATCGAAGTTTAGTCATTAGTAGTATTTATAATAATTTTTATGATCATTGAATAACATGTTTAAAATTTAATTGAATAAGTTGTTGTATTGTTGAAAAAGATATACTACTTTTGATTGACTTATGTCATTGCAACGAATTGTCCGTGCAACGAATTGTCCGTGCAACGAATTGTCCGTGCAACGAATTGTCCGTGCGACGAATTGTCCGTGCGACGAATTGTCCTGCGACGAATTGTCCGTGCAACGAATTGTCCGCAACGAATTGTCCGCGACGAATTGTCCTGCAACGAATTGTCCGGTCACCAAAAGACATTTGGAAATAAGTTTTATCAGTTTAATATAGAAAAAACCAAGGTGGTCATGTGCAAGAATTACATCACATTCGTACCCTCAGGTGTTTTTTCAAGAAATGATCGCCACATTTACTTCAGTATTTACTAAAATAGTCAAATAAGACACGAATCATACGATTAATCTGAGTTGACGGCAAGACAATTGACACGATGCCCTCCCATTTTTGCGTTTAACACATGCTTTGTTTAGAGCACGCTTCATCATCTCTTCAGCTACTAATAAAAGCATTTATTTATTTTTTTTAATTAATAACTGAATAAAATAAACAGTCAAGGCAAATAGAAATAGATTGTTTATATTGAAATAGTCTAATAAACTAAAAAAAAATGTGTCTTTTCTAAGTAGCAATAAAATATTTTTCATAAATGAATCAGGTTAATATCACTATTAACGTGTTTTATTGATAATTATGAACTGGAACTTTCGTTATAATATCGTCATCATTTGTGACACATACGACGCGATTTGGCATGTACATTCGATCTTGAATCCCATTCCTTGCATTATATGGCATTAAACCTATGAAGAAAACAGATAGATTTTAATGAATATAGATTTAAATTGAATAATTCAACTTACCGCTATCAAAATCTAAAATTTGTTGAGATGCAACATCGAATGTTAGTCCAACCAATTCAGGCCATTCTTTACGTTCGGACATTATTTTGTAAATATTTAAGATACAAACTAGTATATTTCAAATTAAAAATTCCTATGATTATTCCATAAAATTCTTTTTTATATATTGACATGTCTCCAAGATTTTAAATAAAAATAAAACGAAGGATCTCTCAACTTACTTTTGTTTCTATGAATAGAGAAGAACCGTAGAAAAAAAATGGAAAGGAGAAAGCTGTCAAACGATGAAATCGGTCTCCTCTTGACGCTCAATTTATTATTTTCCAAATAGTCAAACCGAGCTTAAGCAGTTGGTTGCCGTTAAAATTTTACTATTAGACTTCATTCCGATTGCGTGTGACTGATTCAAAACTCGATATTTATCGATCTACTATGGTGGCATGCAATGCTATATTTACTTGAAAAGTTTCTTTCTCTGTTTCAATTCCTTTAATTTAACTATTATATAAAATGAAAGATCTTTCTTTACTCTATCGAATAGTATACAGCAGTATGCAAAAAAAAAATGTTATTTTCACTTTTCTCTTAGATGAAATTGTTCGCTTACATTTACAATATGAGGAGAGCAATGAAAAAACGAATGACATTAATTTAGCCAAAATAAAGAAAGTCGAACATAGTTTATTTTGAAATTCTTGAACAACGAGATGAAAATTTTTTACTGCATGCAAAAAAGGGAGAGATGTATAAGTACATCAACAAGAAATAATAGTGTACGAAATGTATTCAAAAACAAAACTACCAATAGTAGTGTGTTTTCTTATGTCGATGGATGTAAATATCATTCTTCGCTTCAAACTGATCCTCACATCTCACCATTAGTAGTGTCACTTAAAGATATTAGGAAACACGTTCAACATTTGTTACAGGAATATAGTGCTTCTCACTACTGAAATGTACAAGCAGCGGTCTACTTTGAATTATGTATCATTCGATAGGTTTTTTAACGCTCTACAAAATGATACTAGTATTGTGTTGAGTCTAGTTTATGACCATGATACTTTAATCAAACACACAATGTTCATGTGTGTCGAAAGTCGCCGTTTTTCATTAATCCAAAACCGTTTTAATCAGAATAGTCAGGCTTCCTATGAATAAAAAAAAAGAATAATTTTGGAGTCAGCACGAAAGGTGAGTCATATCAGAAAATAAATTTCAAAGATCTGGAAAAATCCAAAACAAAAATGGTTAAATAATACAAGCGATATTTTTGACTGACTTTAGTTTTTTTATGTAATCTCAATTCTGATCAAAACTGATTAAATATTAGTCAAAAACGGTAACTTTCGACACTCATGAACATTGCGCATTTGATTAAAGTGTCTCAACCATAAATTAGANCAAAAGTGTTTCATTTTTACAGATATGTGTTTGTGATTTATTTTTGATTTGCTCAGGATTTTCTACAAATGTTCCCTCGTTTAATGTAAAATCAACATATTCTATCCTTCAAAAGATGCTCGTCTAAAAGTAGCTTTACAAGAACAATCAATTTGTAAGAATGTTCTTTAGAGAATACTAATGTTTGAGAATTGTTTTGAACGACATTTTTTTCGAGAAAATGTTAGAAAATCCTGAGCAAATCAAAAATAAATCACAAACACATATCTGTAAAAATGAAACACTTTTGTGTTTATAGATTTTTTTCAAAGCATATTTTTCTTATGTTTTCTGACTAATCTAGTTATACTAGGTTAATCAAAAAGCAAAAAGTAGTCGAGAGTGCTTCAGAAATATATCATAGCAGGGTCTCTGGAAGTGAGTTTCAATAAAATTCGTGATAATTTTTTCACTAGCAGTACATCATACTGCAAACTACAGAAAACTCTATTTTAATTTTTACAAGTTTATCATTATTTCATATTTTGAAGGAGGTGACTGTAATACTATTTGTTTCATTGTTTTATTTAATCAACATCTTTTTTTTCAAAAGAAATAATAGTAAGAAGGTATACTATTTCAACGAAAAGAAATAGGTAGTCAAATTAGTTGTCGACACTTTTTCAAGAAAAAATTTCAACTTTTTAATAACGCGAGAAACGTGAAAAGAAAACAAGAGCATTTTTTCAGAAAAGACTAAATGAATGTTTGAAGAATACCTATGCTAAAACAAGTAACATCTATTTACGGTTTCAAACAAAATGTTTTTCTAGCTGTTAATTTCGAAAATGGTTTAACTTCCACATTATAAAGTGACAATGATTTAACAGAGTGAATTTTCAATGTGTTTGGAATTGCTTTGATATTGTTCCATCGTTGATCAAGTAATGCGGAATGTGATTTAATATCTTGCTCATTTACTAATATAATATTGATATTTTTGGTAATGGCATTTGCATAATGTGCAAAATTTTTTGCATTACGTACAGTGCATTGTTTTGCCATTACTCCTTTCCATACTAATCGTTTAACAGTTCCACCTACTCCATCAACTGCACCACGACCACGTCCACTCGAGAAAAAATTCCAGATAAGATTAACATGATAATCATTTGATAAAAATGTTAAGTTTGCAATAGTATATCGTTGCTTGAATTGCGATGCTGCACCATCTGAAAAAATATTTATATTTTCCAACGAAGTAAATCTTTTTTTAAGATCAATAATAATTATTGTTAAACAACAATGTATCGAATATTTATCATGAGAAATATCATTAGATATTAATGAATAATTAATAACATCGAAATTCGGACCAGACCAAACCACAGCATTAAATAAACCAACTTGTTTATAATTAAAAAATGCATTTTGAACCTCATCTTGATATTTTGTGCGATAATTTTCTGAAAAATCAATTTGTAAAACAATCGATGTTGGTGTTGCATTTTGTTTACATTCTTCAAAATATAAATATTGAACATGGGTAATAAAACTGTGCATCAAAAAATCGTTAGCTTTAATTTTTAAGTCACTAATGGCATCTTGAATCGTGCCGGATTTTTCTGTTTTAACTATTTTTGCATTGATTGTTTCCCATTGAGAATAACATAAATCTTCTCCACCAAGTTCTTCATTACATTCGAATATTTTATCAAAATATTTTAAATCACCACATGTTGTACAATTCGACGACATACAATTTTTATCATTGCTGTCACAAACTAAAGCTTCACGGAAGAGTGCTGTTGTTTTTGGTGTATTTAAGATAGAACTTATTGATGATAATAACAAGTCAATATTTGCATGATATTTGCATAAGCAAACATTTTGAGGTATATCAGACATCGGTAAAACATGTTTTGGACGAAGTAAGCTGAAAGATGTTGAACCAATTTTTTCATTAGGATACATCAATTTGAATTGTTCATAAACTTCTCTAACTGCAGTCATAACAAGATATTATTTTTGAACTTTGATGTTGGAACCATCAGGTAACTTTACGATAACGATATCTTTTTTACCAGTAGCAACGCTACTGATTTCGTCGATTTGATAGAATTGTACAGCTTTATTTTTCGTAGCTTCCGAAGGATCATTAGTTGGTTTTGCTGGCATTGGTGGCGTGGTGAGTACTCCATGTTTGATTGCTAGATGTCGAATAATTTCTTTTTTTCTTGTTGGACTTGCTGGAAGACTTCTTTCTGAACGATGAACAGCCTTGGCTAAAGTTTGAGGACATTTGTATAAAGATGTTGGTTGTCCTGGCTTCGATAACAAAGTTAAGTTATTTAATTGTGAATTAAGTTTTCAGAAGCCAATTTCAATAGGCGTTTGGCTTGTCTTGCCCGATTTTGTGCACGAATTTTTTCAAGTTTAATTGGATCTTGTTTAATAAGTTGACGAATTTTACGATGTTTAGCAGCATCTTTTTCTCGAAATTTTTGTAACAATGATTTGTTTTCATCAAGATTAAGTTTAGCTTTGAATATACGAAATCGGTCGCTTGATGATAAAGGCATTATTATGAACGATCAATACGAAAAAATAAATGTGATGTATTTAGTAAGTGTGATATCACTTGATTGACTATTATTATATCTCTCGTCGTAACAGTTCGTTAGCGACGTGACTCAATGAGATATTGTATATACTTTTCGAAAACAGAACGTGAAAAAAAACGAAAATACGATATACATATTGAACGTGTTGAACTTGGCAGACGATTAGTTTAGAAAGAAAAAAAAATATTCAAATTTTTGTTAACGACGCGACAGATGTACTATGCTATCTTGAAATAGTATAATCTTGAAGATGGTGAAACTAACAAAAAAAAATCCTCTATAGTAGAAAATAACATTGAAGGAACTTTTGATTGCTAACACAAAACTTTTATTCTCTTTTCCTTTATGCTTGAACTATAATGTTTTCGGAACATAGAAATATGGAAGTTTTTATGACATAATGATACCTTTCAACAATAAGTATTTTTGTGGTCTTCAAAACTGCTTATTCGAAAAGCGCGTACTATATTCATTTATTAGAGATCATATACTACCATTCTATTTTATTTTCACACTTCAGCGTTGACTTTGAGAAAATTTGAAATTTGTCCCGTTTTGTCTGATTTTGCCCATATATTATTTATGAAAAAGGGATAGTACCTTGATAGTTTCATATCTTAGAGAGACTTTATTCAAAACTTCTGAAATTTTTTATACAAACTAGTCTATCTGAGGCCTTTATTCAGTCAAACTTTCAGATCAAAATTCGAAAGTATAGCTTTGATGCCAATGTGGGCGCACTATAGAGAAAATTCACTAGAAGCTTGATATCTCCGCAGAAACAAGCCAGGGCCCGAACTTTTTTTACCATAGACACAGCTCACTATGAGCTACAAGATGCGTAAAACCACGACTGAAAAGCGCTCTGGCACTTGGGAAGGTTCCCTGGTAAATCAACTACTAAGATTGAATCACTCCATTGTCGAATGTGGCTGTAACTACTACTCTGTTACGTTAGATGAACCAAATATATCAACACTCTGAATCGTAACTTTTAAGAGCGTGTGATTCGGAGTCTATGACTGTGTCTGTGTCTATGGATGTTAGTTTAAAGTAAGATATAAGTACACCCTCGTTCCATTTTTTAAAATAACGATCGATCAATGAAAATCAATTTATTTTTGTCCATTTATTCTATTTTTCATTCATTCTATACAATAAAAGCTAATGCATATCAAAGATGAGCACAGGAGAACTTTTTTTTATCCTGTCCTGGTTTATCTTGATAACTAGTCTTGCCATGGCGGGCAGCAGGACAAGACATGAAAATTTTTTCCAATATTATCCTGCTGATTCATTCCACTTTGGTGGAGGGCAGAAAGTAAAAATGAGAATCTCTAGTTTGACTTTCAACAATCAAAACGCATAAGACTGTATTAGTTACCTTATAGCTAATTTTCTTTTTTATATAATTTGTGAAGAAATTGAATACATTATAAATAATCAATTATGCTATAGATGTAACAATATCAAAATTCTGATTCGTTGCTTTGATCCTTACAGTCTGAAGTAATTTTGCTTTATAAAGAAAGGTAGGCGGTTGTAAAAATGTAGATTATAGAGTTTCAATGTACTTATGTGTAAGCTCAAAAGATTTTGTTTGTTCTTCCTTACGAAATTTCAAATCTATCTCATAAAGACTATTAAATCCTTTAAAAAAAAGCAGAAGTACAGAAATTTTCATCTGAAATTTGGTTATGAGTAGTTCTTCTGATGTTAAAATTTCTCTACAACTTTCGATTGACGTGAATAGTGTCTTCTTCCAATAAGTTTGTTACAGAGAAAGATCTCAGAAAGTTAACTTTTCTTCGACATATTCTATGTTGAGAAGAAAATATTCGTTTTGGCTGAAAATTCTAAGTCGTCCTAAGAATCATCAGAACTATTTATGAGCAAAACTTCGAAGGAGATCCTCGCTTTCGGTTTTCTCAACATCCTGACTACATAGTCATTGCATAGTTTTGTTATACATCTTAATGTCTGAATCGGAACACTGATCAGGAAAATGAAAAGTTTCATGTTGCAGCCGTGATTAAAGATAATCTTTAAAATAAAAATTAACATTCAGTAAATGATGAGTTTTAAAAAATGAAGTGTTTCATTTATTAATCACTGAAAATAATACATATTTTTCTCTCTGTAATTGATAGGATTACCTCAATTCCAAAGGAAACTCAGTTTTGTATATAAAATTTTGTGCAGATTTTTATTTACATTATCGAACGGTTTATTGGAAGGAACACTAGACTTTTAATTATTAATAACTTGTTCATGACAAGAAAAGATAATTTTGATAAATTTCTACTTAGCTGAAAGTTAAGCAATCAGTGATGAAAGAACGGCTGCTTTCTATGATGCATTGTCAAATAGAATCCATAGGCAGTCGTTTTTGTAAATGATGTATAAGTTGCATTATTTCTTATTCTATATATTTTTTTCAGCATCTCGAACAGAAAAAACACTTTAGTTTTTTCTTCCTTACTAGTCACTATTGGAGACAAAGTACACAAATGAGAATAAAAAAAAACATGGAAGCAATACAACAAACTCAATGCATTATAGTTGCTATTTGCTTGAGAATGCGGGTGTGAGTGTAGGTGGATAAGCTGAGTTAGCCTTTTCTGTACTCGCACTCACACCCTGTGGAACATTAATAAATACTCATTTGTTCATGAACATACTATCATAGCAGAAATATTCAAATTTTTCTTTGTTTAGTAAGTATTGTTTTTCTTTAATACTTAAAAAATACGAGACGTTCTCAGTTGATATACTTTCTTCTTTGCTTTTGCATGTAGAAAAGAAAAGAAAAGAAAGGAATAAATAATATTTCAGGTTTCATGCATGTCCGTTGAGGTGTAAGAGAGAAAAGAAAAAAAAAGAATGTTTCCTTTGTCTTGGTTTCTATTCGCTTGGCGATGTACAATACGAAATTATGTGCAGAAAAAACATGAATCAATTTACAAGAATAAAGGTAAATCGTGATGAATTTTTCACCACGATTTTATTAGGTGAATTAAAAGATAAAGTTATTGTTGTTTGTGAAAATTTCTTTAGCAAAATAGCTTATGTTTTTCTGTGAACAAATAATGTGATTTTTCATAACATGCAAACAAAAACTCCCTATGGTTAGAAAATTTAAGCGATTATCATATTATACATATTTTCTCTAAGATGACAATGTACGAGAAAGTGATAACGATAATAGCTTTGATTATGATTATCAATCAAACGATAATATATCTTATAAATTTATTTTATTTTAATAGAAAAGACAAGTTTATCGATGAATCTATATGTATGTAATATAAACAGTTGCTTCGAAATGTGAAAATGAAGTTGTTGGTATCGATTCATTGTCACAATACTTCCAATAGTGTTTCAATGCTTGTTCTGTACTCTTCGTGGACTCGCATTGAGATGCATGTGGGTGTAGGTATCAATAAGGAAAGACAAAAGGCTACACACAAACACCCACATCCTGATCATTCTTGTGGCACAATCGTCTATTTCTGTTGCATAATTAACTATTCTTATGGCAAAGTGACCATTTAATGTTCATGTTCAAATATTGTTCAATGGAAATAATCAAGAGGAAGAATAGAAAACGGCTTTCTGTTTTGTAACATGCCTGTTTAGACTAAAATACAATCAATCGAAGTCGTCGAATGGATTCTAATTTATAGTTGTATTTTCAATTTTAAACCACCATTGATTGACACCGATTGCCACTGGTTTCAAACGATGTATACACATAGTAATTGTGATAGGTATCCTTTTTTCTATTGTGACTCTCTCTCATATGAGATCTATCTGTGATGTCTCCTACACTGCAATACAATAAACAGACCCATATATTCACTACATCTGTATTTTCTTGAATGGTGTAGGTGTACGTTAGAATAGAACAAATACTCTGACACACACTCGTTATTTTGAAAGAATTGAAGAAAATCTCTGGCCAATGACGAGCGAGTGCGAGAGAGCTGTTTCTAGATTAGTATCAAATAAACCAAGTCAATATCGCTTTGAATACTTTGTAGTATACGTTTTATAGAGGTTGTGGATGTGACTTTGGTTATTGTTGTAAAACCACGTGTCATTCTTCTATTCATCCACATATTGGGAAACAGCGCATCGAATACCGAAGGCTTTCAATTAATACTGCACTGTAAAACATATATATGTGCACAAAAAAATTGACAGATGAGACAAAGCTACGTTAAATTCATGAGAATATCTGAAAATAAGTCAACGTATGCCTAAGTAAAAGTAAAGTACAGCCAAGTACGCCAACGTATATCAAGGGACGCCAGAGTCCAACATTTTTAGATCTGCTGTTTTCTTGTTGTAGTTCGTCCTTGATTACATCGAACACCATTGTAGCTATTAGATCATACCCAGCCGGTTTCAAATGAACCTTGTCATCCCATATAAGATCTCGTTTGGCGCTGTCGTTGAGATCATGGTACGGAATCCCTTTATCAAGATCCACGAGATATACATTATGCTCTTTTTTGCGATTCATCACATAATTTCGAATCATTTCATTCAATGCTCGTCTTTCGTGATCTTGAGTGTCGTTCGGTGAAAAGTATCCACTTTCGGGGACAGTCATCACAGCTAATTTTGTATGTCCTTTTGTATGATGAAGAGCCACGTCATACATTCGCTTCAAGCCTTTATAAAAGATTTGTTTGGCGAATAAATTATAGCCTAAATCATTGGTGCCGCCCAAAATGATGATCCAATCATAAGGAGAACGACTTGAGTTAGTTAGAAGAGTCTCGAACCGTTGAAGCATAAAGGGTACAACTCGCTCACCACTCACGCCTTGTTCATGCACAATAACTGGGATCTTCACCGACGCGAATAAATCTGACAAATGATTGGCATACGGATGATAATCACGACCATAGTGATAGTAGCCGGCTGTCAGTGAGTCTCCGATGGCAAGAAGGCGAAGTGGTTGTTGTTCGTGCGTCATTATGGCAACGATTGTGTGATGAAAAAAAAATGAGAAAGAAAAGCACTCTCATTCTCACTTCACGCATTCTCTCGTGCGCAAATCGATTGCAAAAAATGACGTCGTGCAACTATGATTCATACTCCCAATAAACAAAATACTCTTCTAGATGTATGTCTCCGTTTGTGTTAAACGAGAAATTGCATTAACCCCCCACCCCTATACTCATACTCACACTCACATCCAATCTGAAGAGGTTTACCTGTGAGTAAATGCCTATATGAAATATTCCGAATGCATAGGCTTAGTTGTCTGGAAAAGTAACATGAATGGATTCCTGTTATTTTAAGATGATTATAGGAATGTTAAAATAGCTAAGAACTCATCTACAATATTTTTATAGTCAAGTAAATCTGTTGAGTTCAGATATTTTCTCTGAAAACTGCTTAATTTAGAAAGCAAGCACTCAGTTATGGGTGTGGCGTGTGAATGTGGATGTTCTTGACGAACAAAATAGTATCAACACCCCACTCACACCAACAGCCACACCCTTTTCGTTGCTTAAAATGGCTTTATTATGTTCACAGCATACGTAGTTACTGCACTAGACATCACCGTAGACCCGAAAATTCCCAAAAAATGCTCATCTCACACCTGCGTCACACTGGGCCATCTAATACGGTTGCTAGTACGGTAACATTGAGTGAGTGGTAGAATTGTATCACGACTCAAATAAGAAAACATTTGAACATAAAAATAAACTAAATATGATCAAAAATGATCTAAAAAATGAATCATTCAGTATTATCAGATGAGCTGAGATAAGTACATTTGTTACGCTCTAACCCTAATGGTCGAACAGTTCAAGCTACAATAATGTGTCTGAAACCTTTCAAGCAATACTTTTGAACAAGCAATAAAGTTATTCAGTGATATGAGTTCTGTAAATGAGATACGATCAACTTAAGTTAACAGTTGTATGGTTCCAATATATTTCTTAGAATGTCAATATTGTTGTATAACTTGATTATTGTAGGATGATCAGGTGGTAATAATTTTTTATTCATATCTAGTGCTTTGTTATAAAATTCTATAGCAGTTAAATAATTAGAAAGTTTTTCGTATGTGACTCCAATGTGTTGTAAAGTCTCTGCTATATCGGAATGACCATCCTTCGTATCAAAAACCTTCATTTGTATTTCTAATGCTTTGAAAAAAATATCTAATGCAATATGGTACTGACCCTGCTTACTATAGACACTTGCAATATACACTAAACTTGTAGCTATATCATTATGATCAGAAACTAAAAGTTTCTGTCGCATTCTCAAGGAAGCTTGAAAGTGTTCTAAAGCAATATTGCTATGATTCATTTCGCAATATACTTTGCCAATATTTTGTAGAGTCATTGCAATATCAATATGATCAGTTGGTAAATGTTTCTGTTGAATTCTCAGGCAATGCTGGTAATATTCTAAAGCACGATCGTACTGTTGTTTCTCATCATACACTGAACCGATGTTTCTCAGTGTCTTAGCTGTTTCTAAATGGTCTTTACCATAATATTCTTCTTTTGTTTTCAAAGCTTGAAAGTGTAATTCCAATGCTCTGTCGTACTGGCACCACTTACGATAGACAATAGCAATATTATTGATTGTTTTTGCAGCTTCCTTGATTCCAAATGGATGACTTGCTAGAGTCAAATCATAGGCTCGTTGATAATTGTACATTGCTTCCTCAAACTTTCCCTTGAGACGGTAAACTTTACCGATCTTATTGTAGACATTCACAACCTCTGTGCCAACTTCTGGTAGATTTTTCAGTAAATTTTTGAAAGTACTTTAGTGCTTGATCATACTTTCCCATCATAGTAAGGAGTTTGCCGAACAGAAGTGTACAGTCTCCTTCCTTTTTATTGAGTTCAATATAGTCGTGAGCAAGAATTGTGCCTTTATCTGTTGTGCGCAGCTGTACGATCCATAGCTTTTGATCTCTATCTTCTTTTACAGACACTATTTTGAATGTAGCACCAATATCGAATAGAATTTCTTCTTCATTGGAATATATACTCAGTGCACTGATATCAGCCAAAGCTATCGATTTTGCCTCTTGTAGGTTGCACTGAATTTCATATAAAACCGAGACAAAATTTGATCGTACTTTCGTGCTATCCATAGCAAAATCCATAGCTACTTTTTTCGAACGAGTTGTCGACAGATAACCATTTGTGGCAATGAGACTACCTTCATGTCCTCTGAAAACATACAGTTCGTCAAGTTGCATTCGAAGGCCACGGTAGAGAAAAATGTACTCTTCTTGAGTTTTGAGCTTTTGGTGCCCAATAACAAGCTGTGTCGATAGATCAGAGATAAAAAAACGAAATGTATAGAGTTGTTCAATATCTTCTGTTCTAAGAGCTTTGTTCACCAACTTATAGACAAACGATTCTCTTGTGTACCATTCGATTGCATCGCTTGGGACATAGTCTCGTTGAAACTCATCAATTAACGATAGCTGACTGCTGTTATCGTGGTAATAATGACGACAGAATTGAACCATTTGTTCTTTAGCTTGAGCATCTTTTGGCATTCTTAGAATTACATCTTTAAATAACTGAAACCAAATAAATTCAGCTGATTCCTTTGATAAATCACGTGTGGCTTTTTCACCGTGTTGTTTATAGACTCTAAATGCTTGATGTTGTCTTTCCGTTCGGTCGATACTTTCTCGAATAGAGTGAATTAGATCGCGACGGTTACAATAGATTCCGACGATCTTTGTAAACTTATTCATTAAATGTTTATATTTTTCAACTTTTAGGCAGAATATGAAAACTAAGTCCACCTGTTGAGCATGTTCGACTAGCGACAGAATAGAAGAAGCGCAACGGCCGGGTGTGATAAGATATACTTTTTCATTCGTTATAGACTTGATATAGTGAACAGCTGCTTGTTCTTCAGTGTGAAATACAATAAAGTTATTTATTTCATGAAGTTCTTTCTGAGTTTGCTTCGTATCTTCATTACTATCGATAGACGAGTCAAACCATATTAAAGTAATGTCTTCAAGGTTTTGGTGAGCTGGCGAAGGCAGTGTTGGTGCACTGTTAGATGATTCTACTATGGTTGTTGATGACAATGTTGCAGGTGTGCTAGAGGAGCTGTCGTTGAACGATTGCAACATTTGTCCTAGTTTCCAAGCGTAAGTTTTTGCTATTTTCTTTGCAGCTGCTCTTCTTCTATTCTACTGTGTCATATTCTGCAACGTGACAAAAATTTGAATGAATGAAGTCACTCAAATGGGTATTTTCTTTTTCTACGAGTCGAAAAAATAAGAATGAATGCGCTTTTCATTCTAAAGTTCATATTTCTATTCAGACAAAAAAAGGTAACAAAAAAAACATTTTCTTTTCTTTTCTTTCTCTTTCAAGAGAGGGTGTGGGTGTAGGTTTGAGTGTTATTCTTCTTTATAGACACCCACACCCTTTTGAGCATGCATATTCTCAATATCGTTTTTTTGTACGAAGGGAACAAAACTCAAAGTCATTTATCTACTATGCTCGACAGTGACTAACTACGTAGCGTTTTGTTTTACTTTATTGATGAAGAGACGACTAGAATATGAAATTATTTTCGCCAAACAATTCCTGTGTATATCTTCTCACACGAACAAACTAATTGAACTGATTCCTCATTGCTTTTCACTCGCATTGGTTGCGTGTGACGGTAACAGAACTACGAAAGCGAGTAATAGTGAGTGAATGACTTCTATTTTGCCCATTTCTAATTTTGTTACATACGGTAGAACAAAATACAAAAGAAAAAGAGCAAAAGAAGACTGGTGACGATAGAAAGGAAAAGAAAAAAAACGAGAAAAGGATTGGTGCTCATAGACGCAAATTTGCCATGCACAATTTACATAGCTTTCGTTTTGTCGATAGCTCATTGATTTATTGATATTCTACAATCATCAGGAATTTTGAATATTTCTCAATCTTCACAACGGTAAGTTACATTTGCGTTGATAATTTAATGCATATCGGATTAGTGATAGAATAGTCTAAGGATTTCATATCCTCTGATGACAGAAGAATACTCTTAAACATCCCAAAACGATCGAAAGAAAGGATCTGGAAAGTTGAGGGTGAGGATAAAGTAAAGATAAAAAGAATGGTTCTTGATGTGAGTACCAATTTACTGTTATAGAGCATCGCTAGTATGGCCAAAAAAGTAAGTAGCTTTAATATATTAGCTTGACCGACAATTCTAATAGCAATGACTGGTAGAGACGAACACAGCGCAGTCTATTGAAATACAACCACTGTTATCTATTGTGTGGCTCACTGAGACCGAGATCGATGTGGCAATGATGAAACAATTACAATCTCACAATCATACGCTAAAAATATATCAAGATCACTTTGACTGTGAATGCTACATATGATTCGTTGACTTAAATGAAAAAGTTGTGCTAATTATCAGCGAACTATTCAGCAAAGATATCATCACTTCAATTCACGATCTCAGTCAACTCATAGTGATTTTTATAATCGTCGGCCATTCAAACGATATTGAATGGAGTAAAAAATACATGAAGGTAAGGTAAACCTGAAATACAAAAGATTTGATTGACTCAGCAAGTATCATATCGAAGAAATTCATACATTTTTTAGAATTAAAAAACAAGTTTTTAATGTCCAAAGCATCGACTCAGAACATGTTCATTATTATTTTTCATTCTTATTAAAAATCATGTTTTAAAAATCAACACTTTCTTTCTTTTCTTCTCCTCAACACGAAAACCGTTGAAGCCGAAATATTTTCTTTAAATACAAGGTCATTACTTTTTTTTCTTCGAACCATATTGCTTCGCTGAAATTTCGGTAGCTTTGATCAAGTTAGTCCGAAGAAAAACAATAGCCGTTTCTACTATCTGGACTCCTGTATCCAAGCAACCAATAATTTTGAAAGAAAATCGTTTCTGTTACTCGGATTATAGGTCTTCGCGAATGACGAGTGACGAATATTCAACTTTTGATTTTTGATTGTGAGAAAATGTTAGGTTTCTTACGACTCTAACATCTTATAGAACTCATTCGTTTAATTGCCTTTGTCCTTGTTACCAAATATGTTTCGAATATACACAACAAACTAACTAAGTCAGACGACGTCGAAATCTTCACATGAATTTGTTCCGAGCCTATAAAAATCCTTTTTCTCAATGTGATCGAACCTTATAATGCGAATAACTTTCCCTAGTTTTGATCATGACAGGTTAGAACAGTCGAACTCGACCAATTAATATCGAATATTGAAGCATTTGAATTTCGCTGGCTTCGCCATACACTTGATCCACTTCAAATTGATTATTTTGACACTTCAAAAGGTATCAGTTATACATCAACCAAAATAAACGGTTCATTTCTTTTCTCTCAACTTCTGATTGACGTTCTTCTTCGCATGAATCCACACTCTACAGACAAGAACGAATTAATAGAAAATTGCATCAAAGCTTACGCTGGTGTTGAGACGAAGCTAATGCAAGTTTACGAGTTTCGGGATTGGTATAAACCAGAGGACGCCTTGAAATGGTATTCGAAAGCATCTTTTTTCTATGTTTTACTCAATCACGCACTTCGTGTTCAAAACATTGATTTCCTCTTTCTCTATCGTTTCTTTTTGCGTGATCTACAACAACAACTCTTGGCACATCAATACAATAGATTGATAACTGTTTATCATGGACAATTAATGACAAATGAAGAATTTGAACGGCTATCATATTCTGTTGGTCAGCTTATTTCAATGAATTCGTTCTTCTCTACAAGTATCTGTTTAACAATTGCTAGATTTTTTCTTGAAGATTTCGCAATCAATCATACAGATAAACAATATATTCTTTTCAAAATTGATGCCAATCCTGAAGTTCTCATTAGTATAGATGCTCCAGATCCAACACAAAAATTATTTGCCTATATATCCGATATCGCCCGAAATGAGAATGAAAAAGAAGTTTTATTCATGTTTGGTTCTATATTTCGTCTCGAAAAAATTTATCTTGAACATCCTGATGTGAGTCGAGTGTGGATCGTCGAGTTAACATTATGCGGCGAAAACGACAATAATTTAAAAGACGCATTTGCAACCATGAAATGCGAATTTGGAGGCGATTCGGCCGGTAGCATAGAAGAAGCGACTCTGAATTCGTTTGCTAACATTTTATACGAAATGGAAAAGCTAGATTTGGCCGGCAATTTCTTTCGACGCCTCATCGAGAATTGCCATTGGCAGACACTTTCAACAGAGCTCGCTGTTGTCATAATATTGGTACAGTAGCGCTGAAGCAGTAACATTTCGATGATAGCCTGCAGTGGCTGAATAAAGCGTTAAAGATATACGAAGCATTTCCGCACCCAACAATTGGTATTACCTACCTTGCTATTGGTAATGTCTATTATTCTAAGAGACAATTTAGTCGAGCACTTCAATCCTACGAAATGGTATTGAAAGTTTTTTGGCAAGGTTATGATGAACAACATTATCTTACTCCAGCTTGTTATTTGAACATGGCAAATCTGCATTACGTGCAAAAGCATCTTATCGAAGTCTGTGATTTGTACAGAAAAGCTTTGCTTATTGAGCAAAATAGAGAAAGCCTGAATTTGCCGTCAATATACAATAATCTTGCCAATGTACTCGATGATTTTCGTGATATTCAAGAGGTCATTAATTGCTATGAAAAAGCTTTGGATATTCGAAAAAAATTACTACCATCAGATCATCCATTGATTGCATCTTCGTATAGTAATCTCGGAATGGCTTATGGAAAATACGGTAAATTTATAGAGGCAGATCAATGTTACGTAGAGGAAGATGCGATTATGTGTCAGCATCCAGAACTTGTTGCCGACGAGATCATTTACAAATGCCCGCGACGTCATCAACGCGTCTATGTTTCTCCGACATTTGGTTTTCTGAAAGGATCAACGTGTTTCAGATGTCGAAGACAGCAATGATGTATTCTATGAAAAAGAATCCTGTATTCATTACCTATGAATGTAAATTTTTGTTTTTATTTGCGAAAAATATTTATAAAGTTTCTAAATTCCATGCTTCCTTAACATTTTGCAGTCGATCTACAAATGGTTGCTACAATGTCCAAGAGGATAAATGTTTAAGGTACTTGTCCAGTGTCTGTTTGATTGAAGTTGCGAGGGAGTGTGTCAAATCAGTTTTTAACTTATTTCACTGCTACAGAAATAACCGTTTGAAAAAGCATTTTTGAAATAGCTTTGCAAGCTTTCACGATTTAGTTGACCCGTTTTCAAATCAGCTTCAGCTCAAGACCACGTGAGATGAGAAAAACCCAGAAACAATCTTCTAATAATAAAAGTCTTCCCATATGACTCGTTTTTTACCTACTGCGGCACAATCGTGCGCAATTAGACTGCAGCAGCTCGCAGATTCAATTTAACTTGTGCTGTGCTGCAATAAGGTGCAGCTCAAAGTATAGTGATTCATTCCGTCCAAAGCTGCTCGCTTGTCCACTATCATTTGTTTGGGTTAACTGTGTGTGATTGTTGATCTATTGTTGTCCCATGTCTCTTATCAGTAAATGCATGTAATGCGCCTTCCTTCGCTGATATTTTGATAATAGAAGGAATATCAATTAGTTTTCCGTGGTTCATGATCAGGCGTCTTCTTGTCTTGCGTATATATTTCATGTGATTATTGATATCGCTGCTTGTAATGATGCTCATTGTCACACAATCGTTCTTTACTATGGAGAGTTTG